TGTTCATTTTCATGGTCTCTTCCTTTCTGTTGAAATTGTCCACATGCTTGTGGATTTCAATGGCTTCCTCTGTGTAGTCTGACATGGTGGTTGTTGGTGTGGTCCAGCATTTCTGTGTTCTCAAATAATATGCTGTGTCCAGGCTGGTGCATCAGGTGCTCTGCTATGGCTGACTTCTCTGGTTGAAGTAGTCTGCTTGAAAGTTTGAAAGTTGCTCTTTTGTATTTTACTATGGTGCCTCTTTATGTGTCTATTTATATCTGTTCTTTAATTTTGTTGCAAACTACAAAAGTTTGAGTTTTTGAAATATTCTTTCCCTCATACGCACACTGAAGAGGGGGGAGAGAGTACTACATCTATATAAATAAAAATGTAATGTTAGTTCGTGCTACCATCAGAACTCAAAAACCACTGGGGGAATTGACACCAAATTTGGACACAAGACACCTAACAGTCCAATTTATGTTCTCCACTCAAAAAAATTGATTTTGTCATTTGGGAATTGTCGTTGCTGGGATTTATAGTTTACCTACAATCAAAGAGCATTCTGAACTCCACCAATGATGGAATTGGGCCAAACTTAGCACACAGGGCTCCCATGACCAACAGAAAAAACTGGAAAGGTTTGGTGGACATTGACCTTGAGTTTGGGAATTATAGTTCACCCACATCCAGAGAGCACTGTGGACTCAAACAATGATGGATCTGGACCAAACTTGGCACGAATATTCCATATGCCCAAATATGAACACAGATGGAGTTTAAGGGAAATATACCTTGACATTTGGGAGTTGTAGTTGCTGGGATTTATAGTTCACCTACAATCAAAGAGCATTCTGAACTCCACCAATGATGGAATTCAACCAAACATGGCATTCAGGACTTCCATGACCAACAGAACACACTGGAAGGGTTTGGTGGGCATTGACCTTGAGTTTGGGAGTTGTAGTTCACCTACATCCAGAGAGCACTGTGGACTCAAACAATGATGGATCTGGACCAAACTTGACACAAATATTCCATATGCCCAAATATGAACACAGATGGAGTTTGGAGGAAATAGACCTTGACATTTGGGATTTGTACTTACTGGGATTTATAGTTCACCTACAATCAAAGAGCATTCTGAACTCCACCAATGATGGAATTGAACCAAACATGGCATACAGGACTTCCATGAACAACAGAACACACTGGAAGGGTTTGGTGGGCATTGACCTTGAGTTTGGGAGTTGTAGTTCACCTACATCCAGAGAGCACTGTGGACTCAAACAATGATGGATCTGGACCAAACTTGACACAAATTCTCAATTTGCCCAAATGTAAACACGGTGGAGTTTGGGGAAAATAGACCTTGACATTTGGGAGTTGTTACTGGGATTTATAGTTCACTACAATTAAAGAGCATTCTGAAACCCACAAACGACAGAAATGAGGCAAACTTCCCACACAGAACCCCATGACCAACAGAAAATACTTAAGGCCATCCAGTCCAACTCTCTTCACCAGGGCAAGAAAATGTAATCAGAGACCTCCTGACAAAGAGCCATCCAGTCATAAATATAGATAGATATGATTCTCACACACACACACAGATATAGTATCATAGATTTGAAAGAGACCTTAAAGAAGGACTATGATATGTTGCATATTCCAGAGTAGGCAAACCAGACACTCTCCACATCAACACTGACAAAGAAACAACAAGAAATACTGTTTACTCACAAGCATAAAGTAATTACATATATTAGAAACCAACACTTTCTCATTACTTTATTTTCCAGATCACCAGACTGGGCCACAGCAACGTGTGGCAGGGGACAGCTAGTAGGAAATTAAAAAGCAAACCAACAGGATTTTTCATAGGATCTCATCAGATGGGTGGGGGAAAAGCAGGAGGAAATGGAGGGAACTGTCTTAAACCATTCCCTCTCATCTTTCCTCATCTTCAGGGATGGCCATTCACTTCACACGCCTACCACACCTTTCCCAGTCTTCTTCCTGCTTTTCCCCGCATTCTGCAGCTTGGTCTGAAGATGGTTTTTGGAGTATGTTTCCATTTGCTTTGGAAACTGAGTTCCAAACAGAGTCCCACCTAAATTGTAGGGAGCACATATGGTTCTACTGAAATGTTATACCAATGTTTAGCTTTTTTATTGTTTACTGCCATCACATGCACTTTGACTTATGGTGTCCTCATGAAAGAGAAACCTCCAAGTCACTAGTCATCAACCACCCTTCTCGGGTTTTGCAGACTCAGGATCATATAGGTTCCCTGACTGAGCCCATCCACCTAGAATATGGTATTCATCTTTGCCTCCTGACATCTACCTTGATAAGAATCATTGCCTTTTCTACTGAGTTGTGTCTTCAAATGATATGTCCAAAGTATGACAATCTCAGTTTAGTCACTTTAGTTTCTAAGGAAAGATCAGACTTAATTTGCTCTATGACCATTTATTTGTCTTTTTAGCAATCCACACTGTCAGTAAAACTCAAGACAAATCCAAATAAGTTAAGAACCATATCTTAACGCCTCTTTTTTTGTTTTTGCAGCTACTGCTTTAAGATCAGAAATGCAATTTTTTCTTAAACTTGGTGTTCTTTTATGCATTCATTCAAAAGAAGACAGGGCAAATATTATACTTTTGAGACATAAAATACCCAATGTTTCTTATGTATAGGCCGATATTGGAAGAACTCATTCTTTGAAAATACAAACATTAACTGCTGTAGAGAGGCCCTTGCACACACACACACATACACGCTTTAGCTGCTGTTTTGCAAAACTGACTCAGGCTATCTTACGAATTCAAATTTGTATAAAACAATAAAGTTATAATGATAAAAACTGTAAAACATATTATACCCTTAGAATATTATGGAATTGACAAGCAATAGAGATAGAATAAAGAATTACAGTCCCCTCCTCCAAATAGAACTTCTCTTTCTAGTCCAGTAGTTCTCAACCTGTGGGTCCCCAGGTGTTTTGGTCTACAACTCCCAGAAATCCCAGTCAGTTTACCAGCTGTTAGGATTTCTGGGAATTGAAGGCCAAAACATCTGGGGACCCAAAACGGTTGAGAACCACTTCTCTAGTCTATCAGTTGCCAAAGTCCCACCTGTTTTAAAATGTCTTTGTATGCTGGCAGAAATTATAACATGGAGAGGGCTATTCAGCATCTATGGGATGGAATTTCACAGCCTGGGAATTACCACCAGGAAGGGCATCTTTCACATCCCTGCCAAATTTTCCAGATTTCCCAAAAGCTGCTCCTTAACTATATATGGACAATCATGTTTGCAGTCTGTCCCATTTTCAACTGTTTATTACTTTTAGGTGACCTCCCTTTACAAATAACCTCAAAAGTAAATTCTACATTTACACTGCTAAGTAAGTATAGAATTGCAGCTTCACTGGGTTGGGATATCCTTATCTATACCAACAATCTCAGATAGTGGATGTCTGTTCAAAATGGGATCACACCAAAATAAGACAGTAAAATATACTTACTTGAGCTTGTAAACTAAAACGATTTTAAAAATCTGTTCAGCTTTCACATTGTACTGAATATCGAGGATGTTGTTTTGCCTCTTTCACCTTTCAGTACTAAATCTAACTGAGTCCATCCCAAGAGGCTGGAAGCAAAAGTGTAAGGTAGAACTGCAGCATACTCTGAGGAATCTTCAGAAAAGTATTTCATAAAAAATTCCAGGTGAGGTCTGACTTCCCTCAATATTGATGCTGCACTCCTATTAATGCGGCCTAGAATCGCACTGAAGAAGAATTTAACTGCCAAGCTCTTCCACGTTCAGCTTCTGATCTACTATGACTCCTAGGGCGGTTCCAGACAGGACTTTAATGCATGCCCAATTGGCCTGCATGTATGGCATTACAGTCCACACATGCCCCAGAAAGCTTGTGCTTTTCTGGGGGAGGGGTTGTGTGTCCAAATGCCCTAATGAACCTTCCAGCAGGRAACTCAGACACAAAAGAAATCCCCTCGGAAAAGCCTTTAAAAGAAAAAAATAACTTACCTGGCCATCATTTCCCTGCTGTCAGCCCTTTCCTGGTGCATCATTTCTATGCGTCAGGAGAGGGCTGGCAGCAGGGAAATGCCAACCAGGTAATTTATATTATTCTTTTTAAGGCTTTTTAAAGGGGTTTTGGGAGGGGGTGGGGGCTATCTTGGGTTTTTGGGCTGAGACAGCTGTGTGGATTGCAAGACGCGATCYCCAGGCCCAATCTACAATTGGCCACAGCTGGAAAGACCTCACGTAAATCGCTCCTGCCCCCCCCCCCCTTCTCCTGGTGCATCATTTCTACATGCCAAGAGAGGGCCAGAAGCTGTCAAATTACTTCGGTACAAAGTAGGGTGTTCCTGCTTTGTGCTGAAAGAATTTGTTTTTACCTGAGGCATCATTTGGATGCCCCACGTAAAAATCCAGTAGGGCGCGCATTTTCCGCCCTGTGCGGATGCGCCCCTAGATTCCTTTTATATGTGCTGTTTTCAAGTCAGGTGTCACCCATCTTATATCTGTGCATTTCATTTTAATTGCTAAAGTTAGTACCTGTTGAAATTCATTTTGTTAGTTTTGGCCCCGTTCTCTAATCCGTTAAGATCATTTTGGATTCTGATCCTGTCCTCTGGAGTATTAGCTATCCCTCCCAATTTGTCGTCATCTGCAAATTTGATAAGCAAAACCTTCTATTCCATCTTGAACAACAATTTGGCCAAGGCAGAACCCTGTGGTACCCTACTGGTCACTTCTACCTCAATAAAAATATTTACCATTTTGATCATATGCTAATATTGTTTGACCATATGTGTCCCAGTTGCCATCTGTGAAAGGCTGGAGGAAATGCAGGAGATGTGTTACAACTCTTTGTTGTGACTCCCCGTTTGTTACTTACAGTTACCCTTCTATGTAGAGGCCAGTTTTTGAAGCAAGATCTAGAAAAATGGGGGGGGGGGGGAACCACCCTGCCAATGTGTTACCTCAAAAAGCCAGACGAAGAGGACAAAGACCCCCATGGAGTTCATGATGCCACCATAGTACTTCAGCAGAGCCTCCCGGCAGCCGCGGTTCCACAGGTTAAGCTCTTCTGTTTGGTAGTCGTAGCTATAGTGAGCTGAGTTGTTCGAGACCTGATACTGGATGCAGGGTCGTGGAGAGCTTGGATTACAGCAGCTGAAGGGAACACCGTCCACCAAGTATCTGCCATCCACATTGCTTTTAATACGACTGGGGAAGAAGCAAAACACAGTGAGTTACAACTTCATCAAGATTCCATGTACTGAAAAGTTAAATCCATCAGGACAAATGAATGAAGCTAAGAAGTTTTCACACTGCTGGGGTAAAGCACCACACCCTCCAATTGTTGGTTACTTAGCATGGCTTTCATATTTAATGGTGGTTACACTTCACCACAAAGTCATGGTGGAGAAGGTTCAAGACTTTATCTGACAGTGATGAATGGATAGTCTCTCAAGTATTTAACTCTCAGCAACCCTAAGGCAATACAGCCAACAGTAAGGGGTGATGCGGGTTGCAGGCCAGCATCATCTGTAAGGCCACATATCCACAATTCCTTTTGTAACTTGATATATAGCACATCCAGATATAGGATACATCCAGAAAATTCCAGATTTTGTTCCAAACTTCCCAATTTTGCTTTGGAAATGCATACACATGTTGTTTGTCCTAGAATGTTTTCTTTCAGCTCTTGATATGATCAAAGGTGTTTTATACCAGCTCCCCAGATCAGTTTATTTTCACCCAATATAAAATTGAAAAGAACAGGAACAAAATCTGGACTTTTCAATCAATCTGAATGAAGCATTCATTCAGATTGAAGCAATAAATCTGAATGAAGTGGAGGTAGTGGTGGTGGAGGCTCCTTCTTTGGAAGCTTTTAAACAGGCTGGATGGCCATCTGTCGGGAGTGCTTTGAATGCAATTTTCCTGCTTCTTGGCAGGGGGTTGGACTGGATGTCCCATGAGGTCGCTTTCAACTATATGATTCTATGATTCCGCCATGTTTCTCACTTTGCATTACACACAAGCATGTCTGCAGGCAGAATGGAGGAAAGATAAAGAGTCATGCAGATGATCATGTAACTTGCTATGTGTTCACTACAGAGCCATTTCAAAACTTTGATCCTTAGGATCTTTGTTTTAATTTATTTATTTATTTGCAACATTCCTACCCCGCCTTTCTCCACCCTTGGAGGGGATTCAAGGCAGCTTACACTTAGGCAACTATTTGATGTCTTCAAACAAGGACAGCTAAAATAAGTATTTAAATAGAATTATAAAATACATTAAAACATTTAAACATATAAAACAATGCCTTTGCTGTCAACCACATTATCCAAAGTCATAATCTGGGCCATTCCAATAGTCATTGCACATAATTCCATATTTATCTATTGCATGAGATCTTCAAAGACTTGATCAAAAAGCCATGTTTCTACTTTTTTTTACAGATGGTCAGGAGGAAAGCGGCTGATCTAATATCCCTGAGGAAGAAATTCCACAGGTGAGGGGCCACCACTGAGAAGGCCCTGTCTCTCGTCCCTGCCAATTGCACCTGCGAAGGGGGCGGGACTGAGAGCAGGGCTTCCCCACATAATCTTAAACTCTGAGATGTCACATCCACATGTGACAAAATATGTCTTCTCTAGGCATGTTCTAGCCCCTCCAGCATGAGTCTATACTATCCTTGGGCCAGAAGTCTTTCATTTCAATAGGAGTTGCAATTATCCACAGTTACACGCATTCCCATGAAGTCCAGGAATGTATGACCAGTGGATACGGGGCATGTTCTGTAGTGAGAAAGAGCCCCAGTATCTTTAGCAGGCTCTCTTTTCCCACTTGAGCCCAACTGAATCCTGCCTCTGAAGATTGTTATTGGTGGCCTTATAAGTTGTTCTGAAAACTATAGAATGCTGTGAATCCCCCCAGGGAGAAAGCATGCGTTATAAATAAATAAATAAATAAATATTCAATTAGTTCGTAAAGTATGGCAACCATCGTATGGAATATTTTCCTCTGCATGGGCTGAGAGCCAAAGGCAATAGCTGCTGAAAACAAATTTGTTTAGGCAGGGTTTTTAAAATCAGATTATGACCACGCTGTTTTTGAATTATTGTTGAGTGTTTCAAAGTGTTTTGAATTTTTAAACATTGTTTGGAGAGTGTTTAGTATTGTATTAGATATGTACACATCAGACATGTAACAAGCAATATGTAAGTACTACACACACACACACACACACACACACAAAGGCCAGGGTAACTGTCCCTACGGGGAGGCAATGACTTAAAATATTACAAAAGATTTGACCTGTAATGTAAGCTTTTCTGAGATTTTACCATAACAAGCAGCATACAAGCTCTATCAATACATCAAAAGTAAATTTGAACATTATATTAGATGTGAACCGTAATGCAGACTACAGTTTGCTGGTACTACAAATACCTACAAAGTCCAATGAAGCTGTCTTTAGAGGGAGGGGATATCTATTACTGTATCATACCTAACAGAAGATATGTTAAAATATAGGCTATATGGCATATATGAAGCAACTTTGAGGGTCCCGTGAGCCTTGACTGTGGCATATCATTTGAAATATTTCAAGGCAAGGAGTTTAATTTTTAAAGTTTAACCATAACTATACACATATATTTGGTTTTGGCTTTGTTACTGCATTGCTTATAAACATCTGAAAGGCAAAGACAAATCTCTCTCTGAACAAATCTTGACAAGAACACCTGCAATAGGTTTGTCTTAGGATCACCATAAGTCAGAAACAACAATTAAGAGTGTTGTTTTTTGACAGATTTGGAGAGAATGTTTGCAGTGGTCTGATTTAATGTACATTTATGTAGGTTTTTGTAGGATATATTTAATCTAAACAACCACTGACTTGCTTTTTTAAAAATAAAGATGCTGCTGTACTACCATCTGTAAGTGTGATGCAGTAATAGTCCAGGGAGGCCCTGCTCTTGATCCCGTCACAATTACGTTTGGCGGGGACAAGAGACAGGGCCTTCTCAGTGGTGGCCCCTCGGCTATGGAATGCCCTTCCTAGGGATATTAGATTGGCCCCCTCCCTCTTAACATTCTGGAAAAGAGTCAAGACTAGGCTGTTTGAGCAAGCATTTGAAAATGCAATCTAATAGACATAGGAATATGGAACAACTGGATGATGAGATTGGACAACGCAAATTAAGAGACACAAATGATTTATGTTTTTATTGCTTTTGTGATGGTTTTATATTATATACTAATGTTTTAAAATGTTTTATGGTGTTTGGGCATTGAATTGTTGCCTCTGTAGACCGCTCTGAGTTGCCTGAGGGCTGAGAAGGGCGGTATACAAATATAGTAAATAAATAAATAAATAAATAAATAAATAAATAAATGATATCCCCTCCCTCCAAAGACAGGTGTAGACTCCACATTGAACGAAGACATCCCCCTTTCTATTTTTATATAATAAATGCTGAGGTGTATTGACATGTATTCTCATCATTCCTGGACATAGTCCTGAATCCATGTACAGTACTGGAAACATTCTCCAGTCCAAATGTTTCCAGACATGTCAGATAGCAGCTTCAATCACTGCCAGCTAACCAGCATGGCCACTGGCCACATCATCCATCACAGCTGAAGAGTATCAGGTTTGGGAAGGCAGAGTTAGCCCCGCCTTCATCCTGAAAATGAATGGTCACTAATTTTTATATGATAAGCTAGATCAACCTTGTAAGACTACACACAAATACAGTAGTCTGTACTTCTGTATCATGATATATATCGTGCATTTTTTATTTTTGTATCCCAGGATGTACTACACAATCTTTCACTCTTCTGAAGAGGAGAGATATTTTCAAAGGACTCATTTGCAACCTTATGGTATATTTGGATCTTTACACCTTTATTTTAAATACATATGATCAGCTCTTTATATGGACACTAAAATGGCTTTATATGGCATTCCATTGAGTAATCGAGGATTTCTCATTCTTCGCAGGAATTGTTGGAACAATAATAAAAATAAACTATGGAGGCTCGTCCCATCTAGTTCACAACTGTCAATGCTGATAATAATGGTGGTGATTATCATGATGATGATGATGATGATGATGATGATCATCATCATCATCATCATCATCATCATCATCTGTCTTTTCCCCAATTTGGGAGTCAAGGTAGTTTTACACAGTTAAAATTCACAAAATACAAAAAGTGATGAAACTATCAAAAAGGATCACTAAAAAACCAGTTAAAAGACCAAACTGTTACAAAAACAGCACAAGAGAAATAACATATAAAATCCAGCACATTGTTTAGATGGAACAGGTTGTACACTCAGTCTCCAAGACCTGTCAAAATAAGAAAAATCTTAACCTGTCTGTGGAAACTGAGTAGGGAGGGTGCCAATCTAAACAAACAAAGAAACAGACTCTCCGGAAAGAGAAATCCTGAGCAAGGGGCAACTACTGAGAAAGTCCTCTCCGGCTTTCCTCCAGATGTACCTGTAAAGGTACTGAGATATAAAGAAGGGCCACCCCAGTAGATCTCAAAGCACAAGCAGTTTGATAAGAGAAAACACGGTCCCTCAAATCAACTGGACTTGTGCCATATAGGGATTTATCAATTGTTCCCAAAATCAATTTGTTCCCAGAAAGGGACCAACAGCCAATGAAACTGTTTCAACAGAGAAATTGAATTATTCTGGTTTGCTTCAGTTAGTAATATGGCTGCAGCTGTTTGGCCCAATAGAGGTTTCCAAACAATCTTCAAAGGCGGACCCATGTAGACCAAGGAGTGTACCGAGGTCTCCAGTCTTCGGTCCCGGGTTTACGATAGCTGCGCTCCCCTGCTAGAACCTCCAAACAAGCTCAAGGTCCATGTTACAGTAATCCACCCAGGATGTAACGAAGGCATGGTGTCACTCTGGACAGATGTCACATTTCAAGGAATGAGCACAGCTGACAGAGGAGCCTTAATGGTGCAAATACACTTCTGGCCACAGCTGAAACCCAAGCTTTCAAGCTCAGGGTTAAGTCTAGAAGTGCAACCACAGTGGAAATGTAACCTTTCAAATGACCAGGAGCACTCCATTTATTTGAGACCAAGTTTCAGTTTGCTTTCCCTTATTCAATCTATTATGATGATAAGCACTGGTGTAGGAGTGGAACATCTTCCTTGGATCATGAAGTTTGAAAGTATTATGATGATGATGTGTATTTATACACTGCTTTTTCTCTCCACAAGGAGACGCAAAGTGGCTTACATCAAAAGCATTTCAATACAATTTAAAATCTAAACATATACAAACATTGAAACAGAATTGAATATAAATGGCATGAATGAGATGGAAGCACACATGCTATTTAATAAGCTATACAGTTAAATAGGTTAAATAGGAACCCTCTCGTGTCTGGCACAGCTGCTTTCTAGCCCTACCTGGAGATGTGAGGTATTTAATGCTGGTTTCCCCATCTAATTACTAACCAGTCCTGACTCTGGTTTGCTTCCAAAACCAGGCAAGTAATTGAGGGTGGTAATTCACTGTTTTGAAATACACCCACACTTTTAGGCACAGTATAATCTTGTTTTTCCTGTCATGCATTGCCCTGCCTTGCCTGGATTAGGAGCAAGTTTACAAATCTTTAGATAATTCTAGCATGCTGAATGTCTCATTATGTTTTCCCAACTAGTTATTTATTTGAAAGGGAAGTTCTTCAATTTAAACTGACCATTTCAATAAGTAAACACTTGGCATGACATCAGGTTTCAAAATATCATTAAGGCTTTCATGGCTGGAATCACTGGATTGTTGTAAGTTTTTCAGACTGTATGGCTATGTTCCAGAAGCATTCTCTCCTGACGTTTCACCTGCATCTATGGCAGGCATCCTCAGAGGTTGTGAACTCACAACATCAAAGGTTGTGTGTTTTCAACAGACCTCTAAACCTCTGAGGATGCCTGCAATAGATGCAGGCAAAATGTCAGGAGAGAATGCTTTTGGAACATGGCCATACAGCCTGAAAAACCTACAACAATTTATTTATTTGTTTATTTACTATATTTGTATACCGCCCTTCTCAGCCCTCAGGTGGCTCAGGACGATTTACAGAGGCAACAATTCGATGCCCAAGAGCATCATAAAATATTTAAAACATTAATACATAGTATAAAACCAAACAAAAGTAATAAAAACATAAGACATTTGCATCTCCTAATTAAAAACATTATTCATCTCGTCATCCAGTCGTTCCAAGTCGTCTTTATTATGAAGGCTGTGAAATTCTACCCCAAACTACCAAATAATTGTTTTAATAACATCCAAACGCAATTGTCAAAAACCAACCAAAATAACTGTTTTTGAGGGTTTTTTTTAAAAAAAGGAAGTTGATGTGTAAATGGGTACAAAATTTCTAGTCTGAATAGAGTTGGCCCTCCTTATACATGGATACTACATCCACAGATCCCACCATCCACAGCTTGAGATATATATATATATATATATATATATATATATATATATATTTCCCACAACAAAAACTTGATTTTGCCATTTTATGTCATGGACATTTCACTTCACCACTGTATATAATGGGACTTGAGCATCCAAGGATTTTGGTATCTGCAGGATGTCCTGAAATCAAACTCAATTGGATACCAGCGTCTCAGTGTATATTTTACATTATCTTGCCCAGAAAAATTTAGTAACAGAACAGTAAATCCAGTGGCTGTTTTAGACATTTCTATGCTTTTATATCTATATGTATATCCATATATATATAGAGAGAGTATAAACACAGGTAGGTTCCGTTACCATATCAGATTCAGTTACCATTTCATAATACAAACAGAATGCTATTCTCTTAATTTTCTTAACATTGTTGATTCCACATTTATCTCCCACCTGTGTCTATCAGTATTTCTCTCCTCCCTCCTTCATTCAAATATTGTTTTTGTTGATCAATCCTCTATCAGTCATCCCCATTTCAGATCCCAGTTCGTCTTGATTTGTCCTGATATGTATTTGGTTCTCCTTTCAAGAATGTAATCTTGGAGCATAAAATCCACTAAATATTCAAACCATTTTTGACTTCCCAGTTTCTATGTTCTTTCTAGCCCAAGGCCATCATTGCTTGGGTAGTGACTGTCATATATTTTATAATTTCTGCCCAATCTTTAATGTTTACATCCCTATCTACTTTCTGGACAAATAATTTTTTTAGTCAACTCCAGTTTATGCCCTATTAATTCTTCCATTTCCTTCTTTGCCTTGTTATATAATTTTTGTGCTTTGACACATTCCCACCATATATGCATGTAGGAGCTGATTTCTTCACATCTGTGCCAACATAATTTTGTGGTTGATTTAGTTATGTCAGCTAATTTAATTGAGGTTCTATACCATTTGGTTAGCATTTTCCTTTGCGTTTCTATAGTCCTTAGTGCTTGATTTTTTTAAAATGTAATTGATCCAGTGTTCAATGTCTGACTCATGACTATTCAGATCCTCTATTTATAAGTATCTGTTAGCAACAATATGCAGTGTTTACACTGGATTCTGCAGAAAATGCTTCAGCTGTAATTCATAAAAAGGAAAATCAGCCTGTTTAGCAAGCCTTGAAAATGCTGATTTATCATAAGTTAATGTTTAATTTTTATACTTATTTTATATACCTACATATATCCAGAGTCATGTAAACATTTCTTGTGTCAAAAGGGGTGGGAAAAGTTTAAGAAGCCCTGTTCTAGACGAGTGCACTGGAAATTGTTATTTTTCCCCAAGGACCGATGCCCTATTTCTGCCCATTAGCGACAATTCTTTCTCTGTTCCATGGAAACTCAACAGTTTAAAAACTACTTGTTTGACTTTTGGCTATATGAAATTATAGCTCTATTTCAACAGCTTCCTTATCATCATTTTTTTTTATTTCTAAAAAACAATATGGAAAGGTTTTCATCGTTTTTTTCTGGAAAAGCATCAGTATTAGCAGCTGTGGTTCATGGACTCTTGCCAGTCACAATCTCCAAGGCGCTGTGCTGTCAATGTCTGTTGGGTTATGATCTTTTTTTCATTTTTTTTAACAAAAAAAATAGATTGCTATCTAATTATTGCATTCAAACTCAGTTTGAAGAGCAAAGTTTGATGTATATCTAGAGAAACAATTGACACAACAACATATTATCAACTCTTCTCACAACTGGCATTGCTCCCATTTCAACAGGAATTTAAAAGGCAAAACACACTTGAAAAATGGTTTCTCATCTTTCATTTTAAACCCCTTATTGGGTTTATCCCAAGTGATGAGTTACATTCCTGGGCTGCAACGCTTGGGAGAGCTTTAATTTTCACTAATTCACTAATTATCCTTTCATAGCTTTCTTAATCTCTGTGTTTCCAGTTTCTCTCAGTACAGGGTGGGGGCTTTGCTAATCTCTTGGAAAGCTAAGGGGAGCAATTTTTCTTCTAATTTATTGCAAAGAACAATGACACAAGGAGTAAGAAAGAAAGATAGCTGTTGCTGGGTTCTGGTATTTATTCAATTTATCTCATCATGGAAATGTAGTGATTTGAACATTGGATTATGACTCTGCAGGCCAGGGTTCAGTTCCTTGCTTGACAATGGAAACCCCCGGGTGATCTTGAGGAAGTCACACACTCTCATTCCCAGAAAACCCCATGACAGTGTTGCTTTAGGGTTACCATAACTTAGAATTGACTTGAAGGCACACAACAATTAATCACTTGAGATAACCTAATAAGAGAACAATGTTGTGCTCTCTGTATTGTCACAATTTACTCACAAAGACAAAAACAAGAAAAAGAAGGAAAATTAGGAATCCCAGCATGCGGTAATATTTTGAAACGTAAGGCAAGGCCAACAAAAACAATACCTTTACAATTGTGAAATAAATAAATGGCTGGAAGAAGCTGCCTGCCCTGGATTTATGAAGCCAACTGAAATAGAAGCTGCATCTTACCAAGTGCACGTACATTTTGCAGAGCCCTCTAATTCCATCTACCCAACCAGCCAAGAATAACCACAGAGTAGCTTAGCAGAGGTCACTATCAATGTCAGGACAGAAATGACCAGGAAGTTCTCCTGCACAACCTCTGTTTGGATGAATGGGAGCTGTGTAAGATCACTCCATTTCAATGGACCAATTTCCAACTTTAGCAGCAGACCCCTTGAAATGAGTGGAACTTATCATCACAATTTGATTTTCCATCAGTTTCAATGCACCTGCTCTAGATAAGACCAACATTGGATTTAGCCCTGGGAGCTTTGTGCCGGACAGCTTCCTACTGGATTATGTTCTTATTGTACCTTCTAGTTTAGGAAGAAAGTAGGCTTGGGTGGCCATGTTGACAACAGCAGAACTGGGACACCTAAATAGGTGAACCAAATGCAAAATGGCAGTGACGGACAATATTTTTTAAAAAGTTCTTACTTATTGTAGAGATACTGCTATGGAGTTTCAAAAAACTCTTTGAGAGTGTGAAATGTTATTCTCCCTGGTTAGTGTGATAGATCCCCATAGTAACAACTCAATAATAATCTAGTTTCATTTCTATTTCCCATTCATGGTTGAATTTACCTTTTAAAAATGTGAATGATGCTAGAGAAAACAAAAACAGATGGATGAACAGACTACTTATTTTGGGAGGTTACTTTATTCAGGCATTCAGCTCTGTTTTCTCTGTTTTTATAGAAAGGAGGAAGACTTTCTGAATAAGGAACCTGTAATGCAATCTTTCTTTTTTCTAGTCCTATATAAAAAGACCTCTTATTTTTCTGAATGCCTGAATAAACAACTTCTGCAGGAGAATCAATTCATCTATTTGTTTTTTGTTTTCTCTGAGATCATTCAATTTTTTAAAATGTTACTGTGGATAGCAACACACTAAAAGAAGGAAGCCACAGACACCCTGAGTTGGGAGATCTGAGTAGGGCTGTTGATACAGAGCGATCTGGAGGTCTTTCTTACACAGGGTTGCCGTAAGCCAAAAACAACAAAGATAAGAGGCACAAAATGGGTATACCTAGTAGTGCTATGCATGATATTGATGACTGGTAATAGCTAAAGTTCAATTGTAAACACAGAAGAGTACAAATTGCATTCTAACAAAGTACTTACTCTTTCACTTCCTTGGAGCTAAAGTCCAAGTATCTGTTGCTGATCCACTGAATCTCAAACCAGTCCCTGAAACCATTGTTTCCACAGCATTTGAACTCCATCTGGAGCAAATCAATTGTTTTCTTCATGAAGCACCTTCCTGGAGTATCTGTATCACGATAGAATTTCATCCCGTTCTTTAGCCCTTGTGCTAGTGTACTCTCCAGAGAACCCCTCATCAGAAAGCAAAAAAGAGCAACAAAAAAGGTGAAAATGATAAAAAGTGAGCATGACAATAGATAAACTTTCACGAGAGGCTTCCACTTCACAAATTTAGCAGGATCCAGAGAATCATAGCATATCTTGCCTGCAAACGCATTGAATGCACAGGCTAGTATACCCACCAATATCAAGGAATTGGGCACAAAGTGGCTTTCTGAGTTGTCCATCACATCACTTCGCTTCCTGAGCTCAATTTTCAGGAACAGTCCCATCGAGAAAACAACGATCCCTGCAAACACTGAAAACCAATTCATGAGCCATAGTCCTTGTGCTAGTTTTACCCTTTTCTTCTGGTTGAACTTGACTTTCAACAGCGCCATCTTAGAAATGCCGAATGTATCAAGCCTCCGCAAAAATTAATCCTTTTTTGGTAAAGGGAACAACTGCAAAAAATGATCTGCCACCATTCAGGCCTTGGAGAGTCCAAATAAGGTTGCTCTAGTCAAGACATTGTTTGACATTTCCATCTTGTCAAGCCAGAAGTTGAAGCGATGTGGGCAAAATTAACAAGTTTTCCGCAAGTGGAAAAAAAATATTATTGGCAAATGGCATGTGCTACTATTTCTGGTGGTCCCTTCTACGCAAAGGAATAACAGCTTCAAAGTTGCAAATGATTAAAGCTGGATCTACAATACGTCATCCTAATACTAATCAGTGTAATCCACTTTAGAGAAATCTCTGCCAGCAGCAGATGAGCAGTGGAAATAATCCCTCATTTTACTATTTAGTGGGTTTGGGCCTTCACGTGATGCATTACAGTGCATTACAAATGAAAACCAAGGTATAAAAAGATGCCCCACCTCAGGTTCTTTTTGACAGGAAATGCTGGTTAAAAAGTGCATCAGACGCAGTTACTTTACACATTGCTCCAAGCCATTAAAACCATATTGCTGCTTATCCTGTGTCAATCACCTTGAATGACACCCTCTGGCTTATGTGTTTTTAGGGGTGGAATTAAGGACATGTTTTAAATGAACTGAAATTTAAGCCTGAAGTCCCTCTGAAATTGTCGGAGTTAGGGGTGCAGGATCCCCACAAAAATGGAAAAAAATGAAACTAAAAATAAAAACCACACTTTTTTAACCCAAAGGTATTTCTAGGTCCTTCAGCACAACTCCATGGTCAACCTCTGCCAGAAGTTGGCTATAGAGTTGATCATGAGATAAAAGCAAGACAACGATTATAATGATAACAACAATCACAATATCATACTAGAAGACCCGGAAATGCTTGGAGAGAACATATTTGTTTGAATTATGTATCAGGCAGCAGCAGAGGAAATACAATACAGAAAGATGAAAGCTATAAAGCAAAAGGGAACCTCTATCAACCATGGAAATTTTTCATCTACAAAATTGTTTTGTACCAAAGTTGTTTTGCAGCTTGTGGATAATTATACTGGGCCAATAGTGGCACAGGGCTTGCTGAGATTATAAGAAACATAACTTTTTATGCAGTAACACTACAGTAGTCATCCCACCAATCGAATGACCAATGTAATTTCTTAAGACAGAAGAGTATATTTTCCAGACCTTGAGAATCTCAGCAGGGTGTTCTGAAAGTAGATATCGAATCTAGAGGATGAAATTTGCCAAGACAGGCCTTTTTGTGGCTAAGTATGACAAAAATTTAAATGAAACAATGCACTAACCATATTGTCTCTTCCCCTCGGTATTAAGGAAATGCTTATCCCAAATACACCTAATGCAATGATGATTTTAAGAAAAGGTGGGATTCACGTGACAGCATCTTGTATGCATTCCACTTCATGTGCTCCCTCTATAATAAAACATCTATAGGAGGTGCTCCCTCTATAATACCACTAAGTCCTAGGATATGGTTGAATGTTTTAATCAGTAGAAAAGAGAACATAGTAATTTCCATAACACAAAACATTGTCAGAGGAATAGTGTTCTTGATTCGCCTCCCATCCCCATGGAAAGATGATGAACATTAAAGCTGTACATAAGCATCTCTTTGCATCACCTTGTGGCTGAGAATAACATTGCAAGGAACACAAAAGCAGTGGGACTGGCCACATGTATTTGATAAAGGAATGCTGCAGGTGGTACATATTGGCCTTTACTTTTTGTCTACTTGGGTGTATGAGAAAAAAGGTGCTTCCCTACCAGTTGGAGAGTGGGATGATACACTGAGAGCTGCTTATTGCTGATTTCAGAGCTCAAAGGTTCCTTACAGCAGTAGCACAGAACAATAACTTCTTTCAGCAAAAATGGAGAGTAATTTAAACTTGTGTGCTATTTTTTTTAAAAAAAAAAAAAACAAATTTTCAAGGGACTTAGTTTATGTGGGAGTTTCTTAGTGATTCCGGAAGGAGCTGTGCAATCTTTACCACTACCTCCAGATATTTGAGAAGCAAGCCTTGCGCCATTGGCCTTCCAATACCTTTTAAGAGGAATATGCCGATAGATACCCAACATACATTAATGTGGAAATACTATCAGTCTGTGGATTTGCCACACCATGTAATCAGTTGAAACATCTTGCCTTCTGCTGCTTTAAATAGACAGTGACACAATCTGATGCATTCCCTAAGGAGTAAACCAAAATCAACATCTGACAATTCTGTTTCCATAGATCTAGGTAGAGCAGCAAAGAGGATGGGTAGATAGTCCACCTTAATTTGTTATGCTTCTATTGACACACATACACTTATACACATAGGTAAAGGTTTCCTCTGAAATTAAGCCTAGTCATGTCTGACTCTGGGAGATGATGCTCATTTCCACTTCTAAGCCGAAGAGCCGGCATTGTCTGTAGACACCTCCAAGGTCACGTGGCCAGCATATCTGCATGGAGCACCATTACTTTCCCTCAGAAGCTGTACCTATTGATCTATTCACATTTGCATGTTTTCGAACTGCTAGGTTGGCAGAAGCTGGGGTTAACAGCGGGAGTTCATCCTGCTCCCCAGATTCGAACCACCAACCTTTCGGTCAGCAAGTTCAGCAGCTCAGCAGTTTAACCCACTGCACCACCAGGGGAGCTCCTTGTACACATAGCACCAGGTAAAAAGGCATATAAAACCAAAACATATTAAAACAATGTATATTTTAAAACACATAATTTAAAAATAATCAGAACAGATTTGTCAGAAAAGAAAGATCACTGTTACTGTTTTGAACTTAAGAGTGTGTATCTGATGATTATTCTCTTCTAGTAAGTCATCCCACAACCAAGATAGCAAAAGAAAATATCTTGTGAGTAACAGCAGTCAGACAAGTTTAGGCTGGCCGAAGCAAATATCCTCCAAAGGAGTTGAGTATAAAGAATGGATTATATGGAAGAAAGTAATAGGTAAACTAAACCCAAATAAGGTAACATTTAAAGGTAACCACCAACACTTAGTAACATACTAAAAAATAAATGGCAGTGATTTGAATATTGACATATTATCATTCCTAGATGTTCTAGCAACCAATCTGCTTGCCATGTTTTAAACTAATTGACATTTCCTAATTTGATGCAAAGATAGCCCAATGTACACCATATTATAGAAGCTGGGGTTTCCAGTGTGTACATTATCATAGATCTTCTAGCTCCAGAGAGGTGTGAATAACAGCTAAATCTGGTCATAATACTCCTGGCTGTTGCATCTGTTTAGACTTTCATTTGAAGTATTATTTATTTACAATATTTATATTACGCCCTTCTCACCCCGCAGGGGACTCGGGGCGGATTACAATGTGCATATAGATGGCAAACATTCAATGCCATAGACACACAACATATATAGACAGACACTCAGAGGCTATTTAACATTCCAGCTTTTCATGAGGGTATTCTGGACACCAGGGGAGCTGTCGCTTCACCTTCAATTTGTGACTCTGATGAAGTACTTCTTCATTCTTTGCATGCTTGCTAGAGATTTTTATGGCCTCCTAAATTAGTTAAATTAGCCTCCCCGCACAAGTGGTACCTAAATTTCTTACTTGACAGATGCAACTGTCTTTCGGGCAGCAAAGGCCGACAGCAAGCTACACAAATTGGTCGGAAGCTCACTCTGACCTGGGCTGGCTTCGAACTCATGACCTTTCAGTCAGTAGTGATCTTAATGCAGCTGACTCCCAGCCAGCTGCACCACAGTCCTGGAAGTGGATCCAGGAGCACTCAATTGTGAACAGTCTTTCCAGGGGAGTATAACCCCATTCAGGACTGGTGAACACAACTCTAAATCCAGATCAGAACAATTGATGATAAGCTCCAACTTGTCTGGATTGGGGACAGAATGGCACCTTGTAGCATGCCATGTAACAATTCCTTTTTTGAGGAGCAGCGATCCCCAAGCACTACAGACTGGACTCGGCCTAGCCATAGGACCGGAATCACTGAAACACAATGCTCCAAATTCATAACATGAGACATTCCAAGAGGATAGCATAGTCAATGGCATTTAACATCACTCTGAGAACTAAAAGAATGAGCAAAATACACACTCCCCCCTCAACCTCAGTTGCACTAGTAGGTAACCACAGAGGTCTCAGCTCCATTCCCTGCTCTGAAGTCAGTTTGAAATAGGTTTAGAAAACTTCTCATTTTTTTCTAGCAGCTTGCAAACGTCTATGTCATTCACTAAACGAAATCTATCCGGGGTAATCATCAGTCAGATGAGTTGCTGGACATCCCATTGCCAGAATTTGCTATAATGGCATCTAAATCAGCTTTCATCAGCTCCGAAGTAGGTTTAAGCACTGCCTGGAAGCCCCCTTATAGGAATGGTTTTTATATCATGTCGTGTCAGGTATGAATTTTCCACCATTGGTACTCCAATTGGCATCCTTTCCATTTTGGTTCCTGAAATCTTCTGTATACCAAGGTGTCCAATCAGTAACAGGTTGACAAGGACATTTGGGAATAGCCCTAATCAGATTTTAGCTCTATACCAGTATCATCATGCAATCTTATGAGCAAGAATTCCAGACAATACTTCAGAACAGTATTCGACAGCTATGTATACAAAGTATAAGAAGTTTGAAAACAATAGTTAATACTTGACTTGTGCACTTGCTTTGACTGGCACTGATATGACTGTATTTTAATCCGCAGCTATTGCTGTGTTTTATTGAGTTCTTTTATTTAAACTAGAAGAAGGTTTATGCTGTTTTATATATATTTGTTCTATGTAATTTGACATTGTTATATGTATTTCACTGTATTCTGTTGCCTGTGGCAGGATATAAACAAACTTTATATTTATTTATTTTATTTATTATTGTTTACAAAACAAGGGACGATACTCAAAAACCTTGAAATGCTCAGACTTGCATATACTATACAGAAATATGTTTAGCGTTATGTGAAGCTCTGCACTCCATCACTATGAATATCATCTTATGAAGTGTTAACAGAAAATGTACCAATGATCAACACAATCTAGTCAAAATTCAACAATTTTCGATTGAGCATTAAGCAGGTGTTTTACTTTTCCCATCTTAAATCAAAATGTAAACTTTCTCAAAATGGTGTCCGATACACAGTCACACTGTTTGCTTCGACATACAATTACATTACTTTACAAATTTTCAGGAATAACATAGCTGAAACTGGAAATAATTACATGCAGTGTGTACTAGTGGTACAATACAGAGTTTTGAAAGCTCTATGACTTGGTGACATTTGCAGATGTGAATTAAAGCATACAGACAAGATGGTATTCATGTATCATATTTTGGGGATAGACTTTCCCATAATGACAAAGGCACTGGATTTAGGACATTTGAAACAGAATTCAAAGCCCACATAAGATTTTCTCCATCAGCAAAGCATTCATTTGAACTGTTTGAAAAATAAAATGATCAACTAGCAAAAAGTTTCCAACACTGTCAAGCTGTTATCCATTACACATACTGTCACCATAGGTTTACACAGTAATGGGCACTGCTTTATAAAATTATTTATCATACTAACAGGTTAATATGTATGATTAATAATGCCTTTTAGTTCTGAATGCTTGTCATCAATGAAATGTATTACAGAAGTGAAACAAGCACTGCACTGTAAACATTCAAAGCACTGCACTGTAAACATTATACTCTGGAGTAATAATCCAGATAGTGAGGATCTTTCATTTCACCAATGCTTTGCCAAGGAGCAAAAGCAGCACCTTGACACAGCAGGGAAAAGTAGTGCAAGCAGTATAGAAGGGGATATAAAGAACATACAAAACTGGAATTAGCATCAGAATGCTTCATTAGTGAACAAAAGAAACAAGAAGAAAAAAAACAGGGCAAGTAAACTGAATTGACCTTGAAGGAGCTGGGGGTGGCGATGGCCCCCAGCTCCTTCGATGGGGAGCTCTGGCTTGGACTGATCCATGAAGTTACAAAGAGTTGGAAACGACTGAACGAATGAACAACAATCTTTACCCCATTTTCCAAGATATAGTACATAGAAATCAGTTGCATTGTTTGGTTTGGGATAATGGTATCTAATCTCTTGCTGATTCAATCAGGGATTCTGGAAGCTGAAATCCAAGGGTCCATTTGCAATTTGATGCCACCTTTACTGCTGTGTCTCGATGCTATGGAATCCTGGGAGTTGTTGTTTTGCAAGGCCTTTAGCATTATCTGCTAAAGAGTACAGGTACCTCACCAAGCTACAACTCCGAGGATTCTATGGCATTGAGCCATGGCAGTTAAAGTGGTGCCAAGTTGCTTTAATTCTTAATGGAGATGTGTCCTGAAACCTCTGAAAAGGGAGTTTGGGCACCTCGGTTTGACAGCACATCTGCTCCCAGGCACTGCACTTAATCCAGTGATTCCCCAATGTACTTATTAACTTTATTAAGACCCTGTATTGGAAAACAGACATGACAAATGTAAATAAATAAAATAAATTGCACTCTTTCGAATGTTTTAGACCCACTGCTCTACAACAAAGCACGCTCTAAGCACTCTGCTTAATCTAATGAGCAAGTTTTTGTTGACACTGTCATTACCCATTCATTAGAGACTAAAGTTCTGTTTTGGCTAATAGTCACTAGCTAATTTCCCATGTGAATTTTCTTGGTAGCAATGATTCCCAAACCCTATTTCTCCAGGGGTTTTGGACTTCAACTCCCCAAACCCTCAGATGCTTGGGCCAATGATTAGAAAGTCTTGAGATAGATGAAGTCCAAAACTCTTGGAAGAGGAGCATTTGGGAAACATTACAGCACACCTGCCTCAAGACACTTTATTTAACCCAGTCACCCCCAAACTTAATGAGCCCCTATTTCAATGGTTCTTAACCTGTGGGTCCCCAGGTATTTTGGTCTACAACTCCCAGAAATCCCAGCCAGTTTACCAGGTGTTAGGATTTCTGGGAGTCGAAGGCCAAAACATCTGGGGACCCACAGGTTGGGAACCACTGCCCTATATCAAGATAAATATTTTAAAAAGATAAATATTTACTTTATTGAGTAACTGTATCAAAAGAGAGATGAGAGAGAAGTAAATTAAAAAAAAAACCTTCAGTCCTCCAAACGTTTTCATAACACAGCATGCTGCTCCAGGCACTTCACTCAATCCAGTGGTTCCTAAACTTTGGTCCTGTGGACGTTTTGGAGACGGTGTCCAAACCGTCTGGAAGGCTGGACTTTGGGAAACACTCTATGGCATAGTTGTCTTGGAAACACGGCTCTATATGGCTCAGCATACTCCAGGCATCCCGCTTAAGATAGTGATCCCCAAACTTCGGTCCTCCAGATGTTTTGCAGCACAAAACACATGGAAGGTTAGACTTTGGGAATCACTGTTTTACAGAACAGGGCCCTTTCAGACAGGCCCTACACCCCAGGATCTGATCCCAGGTTTTCTGCTTAAAACTGGATTACATGAGTCTGCACTGCCAGATAATCTGGTGGGATTCTGCCAGATAAACTGTCTGGGATTTCTAGAGGCTCTTCCACAATCCTATATCCCAGAATATCAAGACAAAAAATCCCACAATATCTGCTTTGAACTGGGTTATGTGAGTCCACACTCAGATGAGGGATTTTCTGCCTTGAAATTCTGGGATATAGGGCTGTGTGGAAGGGCCCTAGGAGTTGTAGGCCAAAACACCCAGGAACCCACTGGTTGAGAGCCACTGTCTTAAGGCATTCCATTTAATCCAGTGACTCCCAAGCTTTCGGCTTAAGTTTCAGGAACAGAGCTCTGCTTAAGTGTGGAAAATAGAGGAAAAAATGGGTCCAGCTCAAGTCACACATCGTCTAAAGGGCCCTCCACACAGTCCTATATCCCAGAACATCAAGGTGGAAAACCCCACATTATCTGAGTGTGGACTCAGATAACCCAGTTCAAAGCAGATACTGCGGGATTTTCTCCCTTGATATTCTGGGATATAGGGCTGTGTGGAAGGGCCTTAAGTCCACACTCAGATATGGGATTTTCTGCTTTGATATTCCAGGATACAGGGCTGGGTGATAGTATGATAGCTGGGTCCGGAAGTTCTGAGCATTACGGAGATGCGACAAAGGTGGCTGTGGATAAGGGAAGAGGGGGCGAGGTGAGAGTGGGGAGAGCGAAGGAAAGATAGAAAGGAGGGGACACTTAGGGTAAGCGTTAGGGCAAGATTTAGGGTTTGGGTTATGGTTAGGGCCATGATGGTGAACCTATGAAACTCATGTCAGCACTGACACGCATGGCTATTTTGATGACACGCAGACACAGAGAAGTACACCTTATAAGAACCAAACTAATTCCATCCTTAAGTTTGTAAAAGGCTCTACAAATTTAACATCTGCACATTTGAGCATTGTTCACTCTATAACTCTGCATGGATTATACATTTTTCTTATTTAAACTAAATATTGTCATTTTTTTTCTTAAAGTGACACCCACCCAAGTTATGCTCAGGTTTTTGGTGAATTTTGACACACCAACCGCAAAAGGTTGTCCATCACTGGGTTAGGGTATGGTTTATGGTTAAGGTAAGGGTTAGGATAAGGTTTAGGATTTGGGTAAGGGTTAGGCTTAGGCTTACAGTACGGTTTAGGGTTAGGGTAAAGGTTAGGGTAAGGGTTAGCGTTTCACCATTAAAGAACTCTTACATTCCTTCTATATTATCTGTCTCCGGTCTGGCTTACATTAGCTAAGTTTCTCTTGTGCAAATAGCACTCCCGAAGGAGCGATGCGGCATCTCCGTAACGCTCGGCGTTTCCGGACCCAGCTATCATACTATTACCTAGGGCTGTGTGGAAGGGTCCTTATTTTTATGGAAAGTGGGTTCAATTCCATTCGTTTTTAGGGCTCCTACTCCAACATATAATGGGTTCAACTTCAGTCCTTCATTGTCTCAATTCAGGAAACAGTGTGTTCAATTCCAGTCCTTAACCTTCTTGTTTTGAGGGCAGGAAACACTGGGCTCAGTCCCAGTCGGTAACCCTCTCCTTCTCGGGGATGATGCTCCAATTGGGCGTTTTTAGGGCTCCTACTCTAACATATAATGGGTTCAACTTCAGTCCTTCATCGTCTCAATTTAGGAAACGGTGTGTTCAATTCCAGTCCTTAACCTTCTTGTTTTGGGGGCAGGAAACACTGGGCTCAGTCCCAGTCGGTGACCCTCTCCTTCTCGGGGATGATGCTCCAATTGGGCGTTTTTAGGGCTCCTACTCCAACATATAATGGGTTCAACTTCAGTCCTTCATCGTCTCAATTCAGGAAACAGTGTGTTCAATTCCAGTCCTTAACCTTCTTGTTTTGGGGCTCAGTCCCAGTCGGTAACCCTCTCCTTCTCGGGGATGATGCTCCAATTGGGCGAGGCCTCATTCTTGGCCAGCCAGTCGAAGTCGTCCACCTGGCTCCAGTGGTTCCTGCTCTGATCCAGGCCGGACGTTTCGAAGTCCGCCTCGAGCCCCTCATAGGTCCAGGAGTAAGGGGCGAAGCGGATGCCCCCACACTCCTCCAGCATGGCCCGGGAAGTGACGTGGAGGTAGAAACTGGTGTCGGTGGTGCGGTTGGTCCTGAGCTGCTGGCAGGCGAGGGCAACGGTGCACCCGCCACAGCCGTCCACACGCGCCGAGGTGGACACCGGCCCGCAGAGCACAGTACAATCCTGGCAATGGCGTACCAGCAAAGTGTTAGGGTTCCCGCGCAGGCGCACTCGGCAGCGGCTCAAGCCTGAGAGGATGACGTCCTGCTGGAGCAGCTCGGAGGCCCCCATCTCCAGCAATTGGTCCTCGGCGTCGCTGAAGCCGCAGCCGGGCAGAAACGCCGCCACCGACGGCGGAACCTCTTTCTCGGGGCCTTGTTTCCGCTCGGGAGGCGGCCTGGCGGCGGACTCCTTCTTGAGGCCCTTCTTGAAGGCGAAGCGCTTCTGCGGCTGGAGCTGGAGGCGCCGCTCCGAGAGCGCCCCCTGCAGGCCTGCCAGCGCCGCCTGCGCCCGCCGCACCTCGTAAGGCGCCAGGAAGCGCACCGAGTCCGTCAGCGAGCGCTGGAGGGCCTGCACACGCTCCCCGGCCTCCGCCACCGCCTCGGCCTCGCCCTCGGGACTCAGCAGGGCCTCGATGGCGGCCTGCTCGCGGGCGAAGGCGGCGGCGAACACGTCGCTCTGCTCCTCCTGCACCGCCGTGGCCTCGCGGGCCCGACGGCGTCGCTCCGCTTCCTCCCGCCGCTCCGCTTCCCGCAGCTGGAGCCGCTCGGGAACCGCGGGGAGCAGGCCCGAGCCTTCGCCGTTGGTTGCCGGCACGCTTCCCTCCGAGGCAGCCTCCATCTTGACTCCTGCGCCACCCGGCTCTAAGGAAGGCGCTGATTGGCCAGAGGAGAGTGGGCGGAGCCTCACTTCTTAAAGGGACAGCGACTGAGAACTGAGCCGGGTCATCCTCAAGGCTCAGGGAGGGAGGCGTAGGGCAGGGGTTCTCCACCTGGGGTGCCCAGATGTTTTTGGCCTTCAACTCCCAGGTGGAAAACTGGCTGGGATTTCTGGGAGTGGTAGGCCAAAAACATCTGGGGACCCTCAGGTTGAAAACCACTGGCATAGGGTTTATATCAGGCATGGGCAAACTTGGGCCCTCCAGGTGTTTTGGACTTCAACTCCTACAATTCCTAGCAGCCTCCTACAGCTCCCAGAAGCCCCCAGCCTGCGAATGCAGGCTGGGGGCTTCTGGGAACTGTAGGCGGCTGTTAGGACTTACAATCCTAAAATCATAGTTGAAAGATCCAAACCCATCCAATCCAACCCCCTTGCCAAGAAGCAGGAAAATCACATTCAAAGCACTCTCGACAGATCATAGAATCAAAGAGTTGGAAGAGACCTCATGCACCATCCAGTCCAACCCCCTGCCAAGAAGCAGGAAAATCACATTCAAAGCACTCCCGACAGATGGCCATCCAGCATCTGTTTAAAAGCCTCCAAAGAAGTTTCCAGCACACTCCAGGGTAGAGAGTTCCACTGCTGAACAGCTCTGTCTGGAAGTTTCTCCTAATGTTCAGATGGAATCTCCTTTCTTGTAGTTTGAAGCCATTGTTCCGCGTCTCAGTTTCCAGGGCTGCAGAAAACAAGTTTGCTCCCTCCTCTCACATATTTATACAGGGCTATCATGTCTCCTCTCAGCCTTTTTCTTTTCTTCAGGCTAAATGTGTCCAGCTCTTTAAGCCACTCCTCATAGGGCTTGTTCTCCAGACCCTTCATCATTTTAGTCGCCTTCCTCTGGACACATTCCAGCTTGTCAATATCTCTCTTCAATTGTGGTGCCCAGAATTTGACACAGTATTCCAGATGTGGTCTAACACAAGGAAGAATACAGGGGTAGCATGGCTTCCCTGGATCTAGACACTAGACTCCTATTGATGCAGGGCAAAACCTCATTTGCTTTATTTGCCGCCGCATCACATTGTTGGCTCATGTTTAACTTGTTGCCCATGAGGACTCCCAAGATTTTTTTCACACGTAATTCTCTCGGGCCACGTGTCCCCCATTCTGTATCTTTGCATTTCATTTTTTTCTGCCTAATTGGAGAATCTTGCATTTGTGGAAGTCCAAAACACCTGGGGGGACCAAGTTGGCCCATGTCGCAGGCTGGGGGCTTCTGGGAGCTGTAGTAAGCTGTTAGGAATTGTGGGAGTTGAAGTCCGAAACACCCGGAGGGCCCAAGTTTGCCCATGCCTGATAGATACTGTAAAATAGTTTGATGTCAATTTCACTGTGATGGAAACCTGGGAGTTGTAGCTTGAGAGAAATGGCTACAGACCTTGCAAAGATACATCTCCGTAGGTTCCATAGCCTTGACGCAAAGTAGTGTCGTAGATGCACCCAATTGTTCTTCATTTTAATTATTGTATTGTATTAAAGTGTTTTTTGCACTACAAATAAGATATGTGCAGTGTGCATAGGAATTCATTCATAGTTTTTTCACATTATAATCCGGCCCTCCAACAGTTTGAGGAACTGTGACCTGGCCCTATGTTTAAAAAGTTTGAGGACCCCTGCTCTGTACTCTTGCTACTGTTCCCTCTTGAGGCAGTGCTCCCTCTGTTGTGAGCTCTTAACACAAATGCTCTTGAAGTTGGGATGCCCTTAAGTAGAGGTCCCACTGTAATATGGCAATTCAGAGCTAGGGAAAAACCTTTCTGACAAGCACCACCCAGAAGCTGCATTGTTCGTCATCACTCCCAGTAGGGTTTGCATCCCATACAGCCTTCCTAACAACACACATCATGAGTTTTTCCATGATGAAAAAACTCATCATGAGGAGCCCCTGGTGGCGCAATGGGTTAAACCTTTGTGCTGGCAGGACTGAAGACCGACGGGTCGCAGGTTAGAATCTGGGGAGAGTGCGGATGAGTTCCCTCTGTCAGCTCCAGCTCCCCATTCAGGGGCATGAGAGAAACCTCCCACAAGAATGGTAAAACATCAAAACATCTGGACATTCCCAGGGTAACATCACTGCAGACGGCCAATTGTCTCACACCAGAATGACTTCCAGTTTCTCAAGTCATTCCTGACATGAAAAAAAAATTTCAGGTACTGAATGTGGGTGTTCACATACTTATTAGTTTTTAAAAGAATCAAGATCACTCCAAAACTAAACATGTTCTGCATAGACAGCGAGCTGCCTAGATAAGCAGAAGTACAGTAGTTATTCTAGGAGGCTATTCCTTGTGCTGTATACTGTCTGGAAATGGATGGAGATTGATGCTCAAGTTGCACAAAACCATGTTGCATACAAAAATCTCCTTCTGAGTCAATCTTTCAGATCTGTATTCCCTCTTGGATTCAGAAGAGCAAAGCAATAAAAACATACTTTTAATGTAGTTATTGAATTAAGTACATGAATGTTTAGTGTTAATGTGTATTAGCTTAATGTTTAGTGTGGGTAATTAAATCATTACTCTTATTTTAAAATCTTGGGTACTATCTACAAGCCTCAGGGAATAATGTACCAGGGCAAAATGTGACAGGCTCATTTTATTCTAGTAAAACATACAAAGAAGCCTTATCTTTCACTGGTTTAATGTTTACATTAAACTAGACTTATTTTTCATTTGCAGAAGAGTGATTTCCTGAATTGGACTGAACTCTTTCAAGCTATATTATTTTCTCTGGAAGTACTCTGTATTTGGCTTTTATTTCAGATGTAAGATTACTGTATTAGACATTGGGGAGTTTTCCAAGCTTACATGTAGTAATACTAGTCTTTAGAAATCCTATGTGAATAGGGTAGCAAAGGAAGGAAAGCTAACAAGGAAATTTCTTTGTATCTCAGTAGCTTACTTTATAATGTTTCCCCAAGGATTGGTTCTACAAGTGAATGTGTTTTTGGAGTAGTTACTGCTACAAATGCTAAGCCATACAAAATTGAAGATTTCTAGTAAGTTCCTGCTATATTCATTCGGGGGAAAAATGAAAAAGACACAATAACTAAAATATTTTCAATTTCCTTCTTGTAATTGATTTCCAGTATAATAAGAATCAATAGTCTATTTTAGATGGGATGGAAAATGGCAATGTAATGTTTAGTGTATTTAGCCAGTTCAGTGCTCACAAGTACATGGGCTGGGATCTTTGCCTCCAAAGGACAGGAAAAGATTGTGATTTGTGTCAGCAGTTACTATTCTTCCTGGAAATCAAGCTGAATCATTAAAGAAAATCGGAGATTCATCTGTTGAATACTGTAATTGTGCCAATCTGTATACAGGGTGGCTATGGAAAACTTATGTGAAATAAAATAAAAGGTATTTTCTTTCCCCTGTTAACTATGAGAGCGCTCTACGTGGGGTTGCCCTTGAAGACTGCCCGGAAGCTCCAGATGGTCCAGCGCTCGGCAGCCAGGTTGCTAACGGGAGCGGCACTCAGGGAGCACACCACTCCTCTGCTGAGCCAGCTCCACTGGCTGCCAATCCGCTACCGGGCACAATTCAAGGTGCTGGCTTTAGCCTATAAAGCCCTAAACGGTTCTGGCCCTGCTTACCTCTCCGAACGCATCTCCACCTATGAACCGACTAGAACATTAAGATCGTCTGGGGAGGCCCTGCTCTCGATCCCGCCTGCGTCACAGGCGAGCTTGGCGGGGGAGACAGGGCCTTCTCAGTGGTGGCCCCTCGGCTATGGAATGCCTTGCCGGCAGACATCAGACAGGCACCCTCGTTGCTGACGTTTCGGAGAATGGTCAAGACCTGGCTTTACGAACAAGCGTTTGGCTAAGCAATGCAACTAATTAAGGAAGTCGGTAAATGGAACATAGGAACGGCACAACGACTATGAGAACGGATCTGATTTCAATTGAGACGCTATGTATGTTGTTTGTTGATTTGTCCTGTCTGATTGTTAATTGTTGTGGATCAACGTCGCCGATCCTGTTGTTGTACTGTCGTGTTTTAATTGCACTGTAAACCGCATTGAGTCGCCTGCTAAGGGCTGAAAAATGCGGTATAAAAATGAAGCAAATAAATAAATAAATAAATAAATATTAGACCAGGCTTGGTGAATCAAGGATCCAGCTTTATTTAGGAAAAGAAATGAATTTCAGTGCCCCCCCCCCCCCTAACAGACCATAAAAGAATGAGAGCCCTGAGTTACAAGCTCTTGTACTCTATTATAACTTGTCAATGTTTCAAAGTCTCTGTTCCAAAGTCCATGTCCTAAGAAGATTCAGTGAAGCTAACAAATTTGATAGAAGTGTTGTCTTTTAGGTGTGAGTTGATCATGTATTATCTCCTGGAAGGCAATTATTCCCCGGGCCTTGCTGGTCTAATATTCTGCAGTGTTTGGTGTTCTAAAGAAAGAAAAATATTACGTAACTTTCACTGTATCCAATGGGTTTTTGGAAGAAATTCCCTAGTGCCAGGTAAGCATAGCTGAGAGCTACTGTAATTTGGTGCTGTTGTTTGAGCACTGGACTATGATGGAGACCAGGGTTTCAATCCCTGCTCAGCCATGGAGTGACCTTGGCATGTTACATTCTCTCAGCATCTAAAGAAAGCAAAGGCAGGTACGCTCTGAACAAATCTTACTAACTGAAATATCATCTACCTCTGTCTTAGTTCATTCATTCATCAAATGCCTTACCTATCCTATTCAGTAGATAATAATAATAATGATAATAATAATCTTTATTTATACCCCACCACCATCTCCCCAATGGGGACTCGGAGCAGTTTACATGAGGCCAAGCCCGAACAGACAACTACAATAAAATAACACCGAAAACGCAAACAATAAACAATAAAGAACAAAATTACATAAAACTTATGAAAACATAGCAATATAAAATTACAATAGGCACAATCACAATGACAATGGGCAGGCTATATGTAATGATTAAAAGAGAGACTGATTAAAAGTAATTAAAACTCAGGCGAGATAAGAGACAGATTGCGGAGGAGGTCACATTATAGTGGGGGTTGTAGAATCAGGCTTTCCCACAAAAGTGGGGGGGGACGGGGACACATATACTCCAATGACAAAACGCTGAGGTTAAGAAATAGTGTGAGAATGTAAACCTATTCATCAAAAGCGCAGCTGAAGAGCCAGGTTTTAAGGTCCTTTTTAAAGGTTTCTAAGGTAGGGTCTTTTCTTATTTCTCCAGGTAGTGAGTTCCAGAGTCAGGGGCCACAGAGGAAAAAAACTCTCTCCCTTGTACTTACTAGGCGAGCTTGTGAAATTGGCAGGGGCGAAAGAAGGGCCTCCCCAGAAGAACGGAGGGCCTGAGTTGGTTCATGGAGGAAGATAAGGTCATATATTTATATATAGCATGTTTAATATCCAAAGCATATTAATATTCATATACAGGAACACTATAACAACTAATCTCTTTATTTATATTTAACAGCCATGAAGATCCAGAGTTAATAATATAGGTAGTCATTCAATCCCATAAAATCACCTTATCAGGACATATTAATAATAACCCAACCAAATTGGAGCCTTTTTGAGAATATGCTACAAAATAACCAAAAGTTCCAATAGGTAGAAATAATTTATCCTCAGAATTCCTCTTAAATAAGTTACAGTGGACCATAAATGGCTCACACAGTATGTTAAAGACTCCCAAACCACTCTATTAAGTTCTACCAGATGGAATATAAAGGAAGACATTGAGACAGGAAAGTAACTTATCTTCAGTGCCACTAAGTAAGTTTGGTATAGTTCAGTTGCATTTATCTAGTGTTTTCTTCTAGTTGTGCTCTAATTGTCTACCAATTTGCTTAATCACTCTGTGGATGATTAAGCAAATTGGAGAGTATACCACTGAACTGCTTGAGGTCTGCAAGGCAAAAGATGGCATTCAAAAGTGATCATGTCAATTATATTAGTTGCTTATGCATCACATAGATTTAACAGGGATTCTACAGAAATGCTCTATTTTTACAAAAAATATATTACTTTCACCTTTTATATTTGCAAGGTTTTACAAAAAGAAACATTATTCCTATTGGTTAGAAGAACCACCTGGGTCTCAGTTAACATGCCAGGATGGCTATCTCATTCAGTTAAATAAAGTAATATTTTTGAAAATATTATTAAGTTTAGCAGAAGCACTCAAAGACCCAATGAATATCAGTTGCTGGAGACCACATTCTAGAGAAGTTGTGTTACTTTCATGCTGCTCTCTTAAGTTTCACGTGTTCATACTGATGTTTCCTCACTTGTCTTTCAGCAGAAACAAAATAAGCAGAAGCCCTGGGGACTGTGGTGGGCGGCACACAGTACACTAACAAGTGTTTATTTTTCAACATCTCTCTCTCTCCTTTCACAGTCTTACAACAGATCTCAGCTGCATTAGGAAAACTGTTTTATGTGAACATATGAACAAATTAAATTTATAGTAGGAAAAGCAATGAAGTGGGAAAGTTGCTTCGAATTGTCTTCCATTTGCAACCAGTCCTGGATTTTTAACTATTTTGCAACTAGACACAAGCTTGTAATATTGATGGCTAGCAGTCTTGCTAAATCATAGTTTCATGGAACCATCAAAACTGTGATTTAGCCAGAATGCAAGCTATCAATATTACAAGCTTGCGTACATAAGCAACACTCAAATCACTACACCACTGGTCTCTTAGATTTAGAGGAAGGCAATAGCAAATCTCCACTGTCAAGAAAGTCCTAAGGTCCCTAAGGCCATCATGAATTGAACACAAAAACTAGAGAAGATAAGTTTTGCATGATGTGAAGAATGTGGAATATTTTCTCCTTCTGTCAGAATATTAAAATTCAGGGTAATTAACCAAAGCTTAATTGGGGGACAGGTGTTCTAGAAATCAAAGGAAAGCACATCATACAGTGGTACATCATTATACTATTAAGTGATGTTATTTTGGATTGCTTTAAAAGGGGCTTGAAAAATAATGGATGAGGATTCTATCAGTGTTTACATTAATTATACCAAAGTCAGGATATGTATGTATATCAGTTCCGGCCACTGAAAAGTGCTCTGAAGCTTCAATTTAGCATAAAGAGTTGTAGGCATATTGCTAGCTGGGTCTTGCTACATGAAGCACACATCTCCCTTGCTGCAACAACTCCATGGGCTGCCAGTCTGTTTCTATATAGTTTAGGACGAGGGATATGAAGGACTTCTTTATGAGCCCATTAGAACGATTAAGATGTTTTGACTTTGTTTATTTTGAAGCTTTGGTATAATGTTGATAGATGTTGTTTTAAAATATATTGTTATTGGCCTTGGGTCTCATTATTGAGAGAAAGGTGGGATATAAATCAATAAAATCATAAAATCCTAATCTTCTTGAGACCTTGCGAAAAGTTTGCACAATACCAGTACCAGCAATCTGCAGCTCTCGATAATTCATAAACTTTTCATAGTCTGATTCTGTTGTTTCCTGGGTTTTCTCATTTATAACAATTTTCTCAATCACACTTATGTCCAACATATTGTGTTCTAATTGTTTGGCAGTTTGAATTCTAATTGCATCACTATTTTACATTTTAAGGCTCTTGTTCCATCAATTCTTTGCAGGAAAGCAATTATGGTTCCTTTGGTACTCTGGGAGCAATTGCAAGTGGATTGACAAAACATCTGAATAAAATTGCCATATCACAATAGCACAACTACAAAAAGCAAAACTGTTTCAAATGAACCATATTATCAGAAAATATGTCTCTGATGTCTAGTTCATGGCTTGTGGTGACCTTGTCATTGGGTTCTCTTGCCAGGATCATTGGAAGCAATTTTGCCATTGCTGTCTTATGAGGCTTAAAAAGTAAAATAAAATGGAATACAGTTGTCCCTCCGTATTTGTGGTTTTGACTTTAGTGTATTTGATTATCCATGGATATGATGAAAAAAAAATCTCTGAAAATTTAAAGGTTCTCCAGTGTGACTCAGTAAACTTCCTCCAGTCGTGCTTGAGGACTACTCAATTTCTAGAGAGAACACCTCTCTAGGAATCTCTAGGGTCTCCAATGTGACTATGGTCAACTTTCAGTGTGAGATGATGGAATGCTGGAAGAACTAGAAATCCTTGGAGAGATATTCTCTCAGATTAAAAAAAGCAATTTATCTGTAGTTTTCCACTTGTGGTTTTGAATCTTGTGACTCTAATCTCAGTGCATGTGGGGGGTCTGGCTATATATAAGCCAAGATATCTATGCAAGCACATCTAGTTTTATCCTCATCTAGAATGCCTTAAATAGCCTTATATAATCTTTGTGAGTTCCTTTCCACTCCCACTCTTGTTGGAAAGGAATGTTTAAATAAAGAGCTCAGGCCAAAATCAAACAAGCAGGTTAAAGCAATTTAATTATCACTCTAGACTCTTCCCCCAGATTCTGTTAATAGTATTACCACTGTTCATGAATTATAGTACTTTCTGGCCATAAATGTCTCAGCGCTCCTGGCAGCTACACTGTGTGGGGAGGAACTCTCAAATCTGCCTTCCCTGGAATATGCTGACCATTGGGAACTTGCCATGAGATCAGGATGTGGTTCTACTGGTATCTTATTTCAAACCAGTCCCACTTATTTAATTGTCTGTTCCCCAGAAAAACTCCCAATAGCAGATGTTTGACCAGTACCAGTGAAAAGTAATAACATTGTACCCTTTCTTACTCATTTTCACTAGCCACTAGATACAAAAAACATTGATGAAGCAGATGAAGCAGAACACTCACCCTCTGGATCAGATGGGCTGGGGGAAATAATGGAAAGACTAAAATGATGGTTTAGTTATAATGTATCTGTTCAAAGGTAGCACAAATATAAAAGACAATTAAGTTTTGATTGTATATGCTTATCAATTTATTTAAATATATTAAAAACTGGTGTGTTTTCTGAAGAGAAAATATTAAATATAGTGGCCTAAAGCCAAAGGTTAGGCCCAACTGGAGTAGACCCGTGGAAGCCTGGTATATCAAAATGTATGTTAATTATATGGTTATGGCTGGCATGAATAATTTTATTTATGTAATTGCTACTATTTTCTCTTATTATATAAAAATTAATTTATTCTATTTTAGCCTGCTGTACAAAGTGTGCAAATAACTTAATGGAAAATAAACTGGGCTGTAGTTAAGTGTTATAGTGGTTTAAGCAGTCTGCATATCCCTGCTTAGCCATGGAAACCAACCATGGGCAAGTTACACTTTCTCAGCCTCAGAGGAAGGCAAACACAAACTGCCTCTGAACAAATCTTTCCAATAGGGTTGCAATGTTAGAAAGGACTTCAAGGCACATAACAACTCAAGAAACAACTAACTGCTAGTTTCAGGGCCCTTCTACACTGCCCTATATCCCAGGATCTGATCCCAGATTATTTGTTTATCCAAGCTGTAGAGGTTCATATAATCCAGTTCAAAGCAGATAACCTAGGATCAGATCCTGGAATATAAGAACAGTGTAGAAAGAGTCTCAATCAATATTCAAAGGGATCATAAACAGAGGCTTAAATGGCCATCTGTCAGGGGTACTTTGTACTTTTCCTGCATGGCAGAGGGTTGGACTAGATGGCCCATGTGATCTTTTCCAACTCTATGATTCTATTATTCTTGTAGCACCTTTAAGAGTGAAAGAAGATTTTGATAAGTGTACTTCATCAAAAGTATTGATCTCGTTATTCATGCGACCAATGTCTTGAAGATGCTACAAGATCCCATTGGCTACTCAAATTAGATATGCAAGGATAGGATTGACACACACACACAGTCCCAGAGCTCAACTTCCTTTTTGTGGATGTAATTTGGACAAGAATAGGTGAGAAGATAATTTATTAGTTGCTTTAAAATTTTTCCTTCTCCTCATCCAAATGAGCTCTTTAATTATTAACTGTATAGAAAAGTTGATGGGTCTTTCACAACATTCAGTGAGAAAATTTCACTTCAATGCCATTTCATACTTTGTAAGTTTTTGCATATATTTGTTCATGAAGGGTAAGTAAATTATTCTTTCCAGGTATACAACTGAGTGGTTAGCCCCTACCTTTTTTAAGGGGGGAAGAAATACAAGAAGAAATATATTTTAAAAGCGCCTTAACCTTACAAGACAGAATTCAAAGCTCTAGCATCTTTGAGAGAAAGAAGTTGGTAGCATAGGCTTCTGGAGACTTAAGTCTACTTCTTCAGATTTTTAAAATTTCAGGTTAGGAAGGCTTATGCTACCAACTTCCTTCTTTTTCTGATTGCTTGGAAATACACTGGAGTCTAGAAAGGTGCAAAGTAAGGGTAAAAGGTTTTCCCTGACATTAAGTCTAGTTGTGTCCAACTCTGGGGGGGGGGGTAGTGCTCATCTCAATTTCTATGTCAAAGAGCTGCCGTTGTCCGTAGACACCTCCAAGGTCATGTGGCCAGCATGACTGCATGGAGTGCGTTTCCTTCCTGCAGAAATGGTACCTATTGATCTACTCACATTTGCATGTTTTCGGACTGCTAGGTTGGCAGAAACTGGGTCTAACAGTGGGAGCTCACCCCCCTTCCCGGATTCGAACTGCCAACCTTTTGGTCAGCAACTTCAGCAGCTCAGCCATGTACGCTCCCAATTTCATTCCCTTCCTTGGATTTATGTCTTGGATAGCTTACGCTACCAACTTTATTCTCTTTCTCAGATTTTTTTTGAAATGGATTTAAGTCTAGGAAAACTTATCCTACCTCTTCATCCTCTTCTTAGGGTTTTTAAGTCTAGGAGAGGTTACACCACCATCTTCTTTCCTCTCCTCATATTTTTGGAAGTGGAGTTCAGTCTAAGAAAGCTTATGCCACCAACTTAATTTTCTTCCTCAAATATCGGAAGTCAATGTACGTAAATGAAAGCTTACATCATCAAAATTATTCTCTTCTTCAGATTTTTTTTACAAGTGGATTTAAGTCTCTGACTGCTTTTGCCACCAACTCCTTTCCCATGATTTTTTAAAAAAAGAAATAGATTTAAGGCTAGGAAATCCTATGACACCAACTCCTTTCTCTTCCTCAATTCTTTTGGATTTAAACCTAGCAAAATTTATGCCACCAACTGCTTTCCATTCCTTGGATTATTTTTTTTTGGAAGTAAATTTATGTCTACGAAAAGTTTATGTCATCAGCCTTTTTTTTTTTTTTTGGAAGTTGACTAGTCTACATTTCATCACACTAGAGAAAAAATCCACTTAAAACCAGGTTTCTGCCTCCTGCAGAATTCTGGGGTTTGTAGTTTAGTGAGGCTGTTAATGGCTCCTCCATAAATTTCAAACCCCAGAATTCTGCAGGAGGCAGAAACTGGATTTTAAGTGGATTTTTTTCCTCTAGAGTGATGAAGGAAAAGTGCCACCACCTTCTTTCCCTTATAAATGTTTGGAAGTAGGTTTAAATCTAGGAACACTTGCCACTAATTTTATCTTCCTCAGATTTTGTGGAAGTGGACTTAAGTCTAGGAAAGTGACCCACTTTGTTCTCTTCCTCAGATTTTTTTGGATTAAAGTCTAGGAAAGCTTTTGCCACCAACTTAATTTTTTTCTTCAGATATTGGATGCCAGTTTAAATCTATGAAAGCTTACGCCACCAAATTCAGTCTCTTCTTCAGATTTTTTAGAAGTGGATTTAAGTCTGACAGCTTTTGCCACCAACTTCTTTACTGCAATTTTTTAAAGAAATAGATGTTAGCCTAGGAAAGTGTTATGATATCAACTCGGCTCTCTTCCTCAATTTTTTTTTGGATTTAAGTCTACGGAAGCTTACGCCACCAAATCTGTTCTTTTCCTCATCTGTTTTTTTATTTAAACCTAAGGAAATTTATGCCATCAACTGCTTTTCAGTCCTCAGATATTTTTTGGAAGTAAATTTATATCTAGGAAAGTTTATGCCACCAGAATTTTGGGATTTAAGTTCAGTAAGTTTAGGAATGCTTATGCCACCAAGTTATTTCTCTTCCTGAGATTGTTTGCAAATAGAAAGGAACCTAGAAAACCTTATGCCACCAGCTTCAGGTCCCTTCCTAGGGGAAGGGGTTTGCGGGGTGGGGGGTGGACTTAAGTCTGTGAAATCTTTGGCAACCAACTTTTCTCCCTTACTCCGATTTTTTTTTGGAAGTAGACTTAAATCGATGAAAGCTTATGGTACCCCCCCCCCCCGATGTTTTGGAAATAGATTTAGGTCTAAGGAAAGCTTATACCACCATCCTTGGAGTTTTGGGAAGTGGACATAAGTCTTAGGAATGACACCAACTTCATCATTTTCTTCAGTTTTTTAATAGTACTGAAGTCTAGGAAAGCTTCTGCAATCTATTTCTTGCCCCTTCCTCAGATTTGTTGGAAGTGGATTTAAGCCTAGGAAAGTGAACTGCCACCAACTTCATTTTTGGACTGAACTTAGGAAAGGTTATGATACCAATCCCCCCTCCCCTTCAGATTTTTTGGAAGTGGACTTAAATCTCTGAAAGCTACCTCTTGCCCCATATATTATTTGGAAAGATTGGCATAAAGAGATGCAGCCACCAACTGCATCCTCTTCCTAGTTTTTCTTTTTAAAGAGGATTTAAGTCGAGTAAATCTTATGCCACCAACTTATCTCCCCTTCTCAGATTTTTTTTTTGGAAGTAGACTAAGATCTATGAAAGCTTATGCTAACCACCACCCCCCCTTTAGATTGTTTAGAAATAGAAAGCCACCAACCATCCTTTTCCTCAGGTTTTTTTTAGGTGGGCTTAAGACTAGGGAAGCTTTTGTAACCCATTTATTTTCCCCTTCCTCAGATTTGTTGGAAGTGGATTTAAGCCTAGGAAAGTGAACACAATCAACTTCATTTTTTTGGACCTAACTTTAGGAAAGCTTATAAGTACCAACCCCATCCCCCTCTCAAGATGTTTTGGAAGTGGACCCCCCCTTTAGATTGTCTGGAAGCAGATTAGGAAAATTTAATGCCACCAACTTCATTCTCTTTTTTTTTAGAATTTCTGAACCTAAATTTAGGAAAGCTTATGCCACCAACTTCATTTTTGGACTTAACTTTAGAAAAGCTTATGCCACCAACTCCCCAACTCCGCTAAGATTTTTTGGAAGTGGACTTGAATATATGAAAACCAAACTAACTACCTCCCCCCCCCCCCTTTAACATAGTTTGGAAATAGATTTACGTCTAGGAGATATCCCCATCTCAGATTTTTTGGAAGTGACCTTAAGTCCATTAAAAATTATGTTAACTACCCTTTTCTCTCCTTCAGATTGTTTGGAAACAGATTAGGAAAACTTAATGCCACCAACTTCATTCTTTTTTTTAGAATTTCTGAACCTAAACTTAGGAAAGCTTATGCCACCAACTCCCTCCTCCCCATCTCAGATTTTATGGAAGTGTCCTTAAGTCCACGAAAAATTATGTTAAAACTACCCTTTTTCCCCCTTCAGATTTTTTGTTAACAGATTAGGAAAGTTTATGCCACCAACTTGCCCCCTCCTCAGATTTTTTGCAAGTGGATGGACATGAAATCTTACACTAACCACCTCATCCCTAGATTGTTTGGAAACAGATTAGGAAAGTTTATGCCACCAACTCCCCCCCCCCTCCTCAATTTTTTTGCAAGTGGATGGACATGAAAGCTTATGCTAACCACCTCACCCCTAGATTGGTTGGAAACAGGTTAGGAAAGTGTATGCCACACACTCCTCAGATTTTTTGCAAGTGGATGGCCATGAAAGTTTATGCCACCAACTGCCCCCCTCCTCAGATTTTTTGCAAGTGGATGGACATGAAAGCTTATACTAACCACCTCACCCCTAGATTGTTTGGAAACAGATTAGTAAAGTTTATGCCACCAACTCCCCACTCCTCAGTTTTTTTTGCAAGTGGGTGGACATGAAAGCTTATGCTAACCATCTCACCCCTAGTTTGGAAACAGGTTAGGAAAGCTTATGCCACCAACTCACCCCTCCTCACATTTTTTGCAAGTGGATGGACATGAAAGCTTATGCTAACCACCTCACCCCTAGATTGTTTGGAAACAGATTAGGAAAGTTTATGCCACCAACTCCCCCTCAGAGTTTTTGCAAGTGGATGGATATGAAATCTTACACTAACCACCTCACACCTAGATTGTTTGGAAGCAGGTTAGGAAAGTTTATGCCACCAACTCACCCCTCCTCAGATTTTTTGCAAGTGGATGGACATGAAAACTGATGCCAACCACCTCACCCCTAGATTATTTGGAAACAGATTAGGAAAGTTTATGCCACCAACTCCCCCCTCCTCAGATTTTTTGCAAGTGGATGGGACATGAAAGCTTATGCTAACCACCTCACCCCTAGATTATTTGGAAACATTAGAAAAGTTTATGCCACCAACTGCCCCCCTCCTCAGATTTTTTGCAAGTGGATGGAACATGAAAGCTGATGCTAACCACCTCACCCCTAGATGGTTTGGAAACAGATTAGGAAAGTTTGTGCCACCAACTCCTCAGATTTTTTGCAAGTGGATGGCCATGAAAGTTTATGCCACCAACTCGCCCCCTCCTCAGATTTTTTGCAAGTGGGCTTGAATCTATGAAAGGTTATGCCAACCACCTCACCCCTAGATTGTTTGGAAACAGATTGGCACAAAGAGATGCAGCTCCCAACTTCATCCCCTTCCTCAGTTGTTCCTTTTGGACTTAAGCCTAGGAAAGCTTACGCCACCAGCACCAACTTCTTTGCTTTTTCCAGATTGTTTGGGAGGTAAGGCTGGAGCCTGGGCAAGCTTTTAGAAGGAGACCTAGATGATGCCTGGGAAGGGAGGCTTTTCCTCGGCCGACTCCTCTGCCTGGGTCCCTTCTTCGCCTTGGCAGCTCCTTCCCGGTGTCAAAAAGCAGGAGGATCCGTCGGAGAAGCCCTCGTCCACGGCTTGGTCTCTCTCCTAATGTGCGTGGAAGTGGAGCTTGCCTGTGTGTGCGCCTCTCTCTCTCTCTCTTCTCCTTGTGGCTGGGATCTCCCGCACTGACTGTGTGCTTGTTGTACTCTCTCTCTCTCTCTTCCCTTTCTCTCTCTCTCTCTCTCTCTTCCCCCCTCCCTTTCTCTCTCTCTCTCGCTCTCTCTCTCTCTTTTTACACTGCCAGCCCCTGATGTGATGGCGAAGAAACCCCGTTGACAAGGCACTGCTTTTTCATGACGGTGAGTTTCCCTTTGAGTGTATTATAATTTTGTGATAAAAATTTCAAGGAAGAGAAGAGGAGGAAGAAAAAAAAAGAAGAAGAGAAAGAAAGAAACACACAACCTCCTTCCTTCCTTCCTCCCTTTTTTGGGGAGGGGAAAAAGAAGAAGAAGAGGGGGAGAGGAAAAGGGGAGAGAGAGAGGGAAGAAGAAGAATATATATCTCTCTCTCTATCTCTCTCTTAAGAGAGAGACAGAGCAAATTAACAACCAGGAGTTGCCAAAACCCAGGATATTAGGTTTCAGGCCAGAGAGCTATTGGCTCTGGGGCGATGTATATAAATATATATACAGAGAGAGAGAGAGAGGACACAAGAGGAGGAGGAGAAGGGGGGCGATTTGGTGCTTTCTTTGCTTGGGAAATGATGAAATATTTATTTGGGCTGCAAAGGGAGAGGCTGCTCCTTCTTCTTCTGCTGCTCTTACTGCAAAGAGGGCTCTCTTGTCCCCCCCAAAATGTGTTTCTTAAGAGGGGGAGAGGAGAGGAGAGGGGGGCGGAGAGGACAGATAAGGTTTCAGGTCTAAAGGCTGATAGCTGGGAAATAGAGAGAGAGAGAGAGGATTGGGGTGGGCTTCTCCCCCTTCTTCTTCTCCTTCCTCTCTCTCTCTCTGATGCCATGCAAATTTAGGAGAGGAGGGAAAGGAAAGGAGGAAGGAAGGAAAGAGAGAGAGTGTGTGTAGGGGGAGAGAAAAGGATACAAATATCCCCCCTCTCTCTTTTAATGACTCATTGATTGAGCCTGTTTAAAATTAGTTGTTTTGTTTGGAGGGGTGGTGTTGTGGTAGCCATCGAGAGGGAAGAGAAGAGAGAGTGTGTCTGGCTGTGTGAGTGGTGTGCCTGCCTATAAGTGTGGCTGGGTGTGTGTGTGTGTGTGTGTGTGTGAGGAAAGAGAGAGGGGGATCGAGTGTGTGTGAGAGAGGAGAAGAGAGAGAGAGAGAGAGAGGGAGAAAGAAAAATAATCTTTTCAAATCTCCTCCCTCTTTTTTCCCCTCTCTTCCCCCCTCGTTTCTTTTGCCTTTTCTCTAAAGCTCTGTGAAGCCAAGGCTTGGGCTTCTTCTTCTTCCTCCTTCGTCCTCTCAGGAAAAATGGAGACTACTGCTGCTGCTTCTTCTTCGCCTTCTCTCCTTCAGAGAGAGCTCTTTATTTTATTTTCTCCCCCCCCCTTCTTTGGCTTGCTTTCCTCTTTTGGATTTGGCTCCCCAGCAATATCTCCTCTTGATTTTTCACTTTACTTTAACAATATCTCCACTTTATTTATTTTTTAATGGCGAATTTCCTCTTTGTGTTTTTCCTCCTTTTTTAAAAATGGCAAATTTCCTCTCTGTTTTTGTGCTTTCCTTCTTCCTTTGGGCTTCATTTTCTCTTCTTTGTCTAGGCTTTGTTTTGTTTCCTCGTGGTTGTTTTTGTACAGCTTTCTTGCTATTCTAGCAAGATTGATTTCTTTAAGAAGCCAAGTCTATCTATTTGTAATTGATGTTTTTTTGGGGGGTGGGAAATGGCAGAATTAATAAATATTCTACCTCTCTCTTAGATGGGTGATTCTGTATATATTTGTTCAGTTCCTTTTGTTTTGTGATTCTATCTTGGTTGGATTGATTTCTATTAGAAACCAAGTCTTTTATCTATTTGTAATTGGTGTTATTTTGGGGGGTGGGAAATGGCACAATTAATAAATATTCTACCTCTCTCCTAGATTGGTGATTCTGTATATATTTTGTTCAGTTCCTTTTGTTTTCTTGTGATTCTAGCTGGGATTGACTTATATAAGAAACCAACTCTTCTATCTATTTGTAATTGATGTTTTTTGGGGGATAATGGCACGATTAATAAATATTCTACCTCTTTCCTAGATTGTGTATATTGAGCCTTCTGTGTAATCCGCCATCTCGGATTAGTGTTTTCCTTTTTTTGGGGAGGGTGGGACAATTATTTTAATACCACTAATAAGTCTGTTTTGGCTTTTTAGTGACTGAGCATTTTGTGTATTATCCGCCATCTCGGATTAGTTATTTTTAAATTTATATATATATATTGTTTAGTAATTGATTTTCAGTGATGTTTCCAGCAATGCAGGGCGGAGGAGGGAGGGAGAGAGGATTATATAAAGAATGGATGGGAAATCTGAAAGGTTGTGGATCCTTTTTTTGAGGTGGGTTCGTCGCATTTCTTTCCTTTTCACCCCCCTTTTCAACCGAGACTGGGCTTTTGTTCTGTTTTGTGAGACTAAGCCGTGGTTAAGGTCAGGATTGAGGTTTGTAAATGGATAATCAGGTGGCATTAAATGATCCAAACCCCGAGGAGGCCTTTCAGGTTTGTCTGGCGCGCTGTGTTTTGGTTTTGAAAGGAAAGCGCTCTGGATTGCTTTGTTTGGAATGATTGGAGGCTGTGTGGATGGTTTTTTTTCAACCTCCACTCAAAATAGGCTGTGTTTTGGAGGGGTTTTCTGAAGGAGAAGCCTGGCTTTGGTTTGTTTCCCTGCTTTTGAAGGAAGGGAAGATGGCGCCGCCTGGCCGCTGGCCAGCATTTGTGGCGCAGTTGCTCTTCTCCCTTCGCTCTCCGCCATCTTGAAAGAGGCCTCGCCCTCCTCGAGGTAGTTTAGACCAGGCAGGGGCAAGCCTCGCCTCTCCTGGTGTTTTGGACTCCCAAATACCACCATTCCTATACTATTTATCGTGTCAGGAGCAGACCAAGCAGTTGCATTGCATTTTTTAACAAACAAACAAACAAACAAACAAACAGAACACAAAGTTAACAAGCTTGGTAATTGATTAAATGTCCTTTGACCAGTATCTGGCCACTTGGAGTGCCTCTGGTGTTGCTGCAAGAAGGTCCTCCATGGTGCATGTGGCAGGGCTCAGGTTGCATTGCAGCAGGTGGTCTCTAGTTTGCTCTTCTCCACACTCACATGTCGTGGATAAGAAATGGGGATACAAAGTGGAGTCCACGACCACCATTCCTAATAGCCTCCTTTGTTTTTGTCGTGTCAGGAGCAACTTGAGAAACTGCAAGTCGCTTTTGGTGTAAGAGAATTGGCCATCTGCAAGGACGTTGCCCAGGGGACGCCCAGATGATTTGATGTTTTTATCATCCTTTGTGGGAGGCTTCTCTCATGTCCCCGCATGAATAGCCTCCTAATAGGCTGTTAGGAGTTGTGAGAGTTGACGTCCAAAACATTTGGAGGGCCTAAGTTTGCCCCTGCCTGGTTTCTTCCTTTCTTCTCAGCTACGAATGGACGAGCCCTCTCGCCTCAACTGCTAGCCTTACAATTCTTTTTTTTATATTTTTTTTAATTCAGAAAGATATTCTGTACAATTTTAAAAGAAAGCGGGGGGGGGGGGAGATAATTGGGGTGTCTGAGTATGGAGGGATTAATGAGCTGGGAGTGTCCTAAACTATAAGTAATAAAGAGAAATAGAAACTTATAATTCTTTTTGGTCTTGCTCAGTAAAATGGAAAGCTTGCCTTACAATATAATGGGACGATTTGGCATTTTTCCCATCTCAATTTCTTCATGCAGTTTCAATTTCTGGGACTAAAATCAGGCATATGGGTGTTTCATCTTGATTATGAATGTCCTTTTACACTTCCTCTCCAGTCCTAATTTTTTTCTCAGCTGCTTCAAAATGTGGGACTTAACTAAAAATGGCCCTGGTATGAGTGTTTCATAGTATGAATTGACTTTAAAATGATATTTTTCCATTTACGCAATTCCCTTTTGCAGCTTCAAATAGTCGGGGATAGATAAGGATGGGCATGGCATGAGTGTTTCATAGTATGGATGGACTTTTAAGTGCTGTTTTTCCACTTCCTTCTACATCTTTAAAATAGTGGGAATAAATAAGGATGGTCATAGTATGAATGTTTCATAGTATGGATGGACTTTAAATGCTGTTTACATATTTAAAATAGTGGGAATAAATAAGGATAGCCATGGTATGAGTGTTTCATGCCATGAATTGACTTTAAAATGCTGTTTTTCCACATAATTTCCTTTTGCAGCTTCAAATAGGGATAAATGAGGATGGTCATGGCATGATTGTTTCATGGCATGAATTGACTTCAAAATGCTATTTTCTTACTAAATTTCCTTTTGCAGTTTCAAATAGCAATGATAAATAAGGATGGTTATGGCATGAGTGTTTCAGACATGAATTAACTTTAAATGCTTCATCTCCCATAATAATTTCTTTCTGCAGCTTAAAATAGTAGGGACAAATAAGGATGGCCATGACATGAGTGTTTCATGTCATGAATTGACTTTAAAATGCTGTTTTCCTACCAAATTTCCTTTTGTAGCTTCAAATAGTGGGGATAAATAAGGACGGTCATGGCATTCATGTTTCATAATATGGATGAACTTAAAATGCTCCTCCAGTCTCATTTCCCTTTGCAGTTTTGAAGACTGAAATTAAATAAGGAGGGCTAAGACACAAGAGTGTTTTTATACAATAAATTGGTTGAACCCATTGCCACCAGAGCTCGTCTTTCAAATTGGTTTCCATTATTTGGGGAGAAAGATGAAACCCCATAAAGAGGAAAATCTGTTTCTTGGCCTGTCCTCATGATGATTTTAGAAGGATGGAGATTGTAAGACTAAAAAATTGAAGGGTAGTGTTCTGTTTGAAGTCTTTACACAGCACCACTAACTCTTTAAAAAGTATAAATTCATCTGGCAATAGAGTAAAAGGGGGGTATGTTTTTCTGAAATCCAACCATTCTTAAATTTTCTCATTTCAATACATTTCTCAGGGTTTGAAATGGTGACACTTGTGAATAGTAACCATTCCATGTGGGCAACTTGGATACTTTCTTTGACACCAAAATGGTACTTTTCTTGGGCCATAATATTCAAGGTCCAAGGCTGCAGTTGTTTTTAGTTATGTCAAATAATGCTGTCATTTTTAATTTTCCTTCAAGTAAATGCTTGCAGCATTAGGCATACAAATATTATGTGTGTTTGTGACTTAAAAGTTACCTGTCGATGTTGGCAGCTACATTAATTTCTTACGGTTTTCTTGGGCAAGGACTACTTAGCACAGTGGTTCTCAACCTGTGGGTCCCTAGGTGTTTTGGCCTACAACTCCCAGAAATCCCAGCCAGTTCACCAGCTGTTAGGATTTCTGGGAGTTGAAGGTCAAAAATATCTGGGGGCCCCAGGTTGAGAACCACTGACTTAGCGGAAGTTGTGCCAGTTTCTTACTTTGAAATAAAGCCTCCAGTACCTTGTGTTCTTTGATGGTCTCGCATCCGAATCTCATCAGAGCTGACCTGATTAAGCTTCCAATATTATGGAGCATATTTAAGCTATGTATGCAGGCACAGTACAGTGAATAAAATAAAATGGCTGACTTCATTAGACTTGCTATGAGAACAAGAAGCAAATTAACCTTCAAGTGGCTTCAGTGGTGGTTAGTACTTTCCAAGTTTTCAAACTGGCATCTGTGTAGTCAAAATTGTGATTTCATGTGAGGAAATATTTTTGGAGGGTAAATTTTGTTTAGACAGGCCTAATTTTCCATAATACGTATATGTTTCCAAGTACTGAAATAACATATTTAGGAATATGTTTATTTTGAAGGACGAACTGATTTCAAACACGATTTCTCTCTTATAAGTTTCATCTCTTTTATCAGTTATCAAGGGGTGAAACCAATTTTATAGAGAAACAGGAAGCAGTGAGTCAATAATATGAAACACTCATAATCCTTGTTTATTCCCACTAAAGGGAGTCCCCAAGTTACAAACACTTGACTTATAAATGACTCATAATTAAGAAGAGGGATGAAACAACAGGAAGCGAGGGAAATCTTCCCCTAGGAAGGAAAATTCACGCCTGAAAGACTGATCATGGGGAAAATGTTGGGCAAGTGGGCTTATTAACAAATGACCCTCCTCATAAATGCACAGCAGAGTAATTTATCAGCAACAGTGTGACCCAACACCAGTAGCCCAAAGTGATAAAAAACAAAAACACACCAGACCAATGTTACCTCTTCCATAGGAGGCTCTTCTTTGTAGTAAAATAATATAGTTACAATAACAAGGTTTCCACAACACAAAGTCCTTTATACTTCCTTCGTTACTTTAATTCTGGTCGTCTTATGCAGATAAACAGCTTTGCTCTTACAGAGCCTCCTCACACCAAAATTACTCAGGAGCTTCACATAGCTTCTTTACACATGAGCCGTTAAACTTTGAACTTTCATTGCAGCTTCTCTCATACTGAGGTTTACCTCACACTCTTCAGGACGACACTAACTTTGGCCCACTGACTCTAACAGGTTTCGGCCTACTATTTTAGTACTTGACACACACACGTTTGTAATAAAAAATAACCAGTTAATTTTTAACATTTCTGACAGAAATTGTGTCTCAGCTGAAGCTTTAGCACCTATCCTTTTTCCACAGCAAGCCAAATTTTACAAAATCCAATTATAGAGACAGAAAGTGGTGAAATATGAACAGGGGCACATAACAGCAAAACAAAACCCAAGGGTGTTGACCCTACTCTGCAATCAAAAATATATATGTGTGGGTGTGTGGCTGGAGTTACACTTCAAAAATGTACCTGTTCAGACTTAAAAAGAAATTCAACTTAAGAACAGACCCTACAGAACCCATCTTGTTCGCAACTTGGGGACTGCCTGTATTTGAAGCTGCATAAAGAAATTAAGATTGGAGGAGACACATTTAAAAACCATAGAAATTAAAGTTCTTTTCAAGGATGGATCTTACTCCATAAAAATTAATGTAATATTTTTATTTAGCTTTAAATCTTATGCCATAGAAATTATCACAGAATCGTAGAGTTAAAGGAGAACCCAAGGACCATCTAATCCAGTCCCTTGTCAGTAAAGCAATTTCTGTCCGTCCAAACTCCTTAAAACAACTCCAGTGAATGTGGATCCACTACCGAAGTACTCTGAGTGTCAAAGCATCCCATAACATCAGGAAATTCTTCCTTACATTTAGTAGGAATATCCATAAAGTAACTATTTTCACATTACTAAGGGTTGAGATTGGTTTCATGCAGTTTCCTCTGACAATAGGGACATCTAGAAATACAAAATCAGACCATTTCTTAGATTGGTAATTGGTTATCCCTCCACTCACTGTTGGCTCATGAAACAGCCAACTTGGAAAAGTGGGCTCACCATGTGCTTCAGAATATACATGGGAAGAAGACATGCGATGTAACATGCATTCTGAAATATTCATTGGAAAAATAGTCTAGCAGTTCATTGTCGGTTGCTAGTTGAATAATAAAGATTCCTCTGTAGTTAATTTTGGTTTCTAATATGGTGCAGGCTTGACTGTTAGAACAGTAGTCTCAAGTGCAAATGTTTCTTGCATATTCAGTCAGAATACTCTTTATTGCAGTGTTTCTAAAACTCCTTCTCCAGGTATTTTGGACTGCAGCTCCTAGAAATCCCAGCCAGTTTACCAGCTTTTAGGAATTGTGGGAGTTGAAGTCCAAAGCATCTGGAGAAGCACAGTTTGAGAAACTGCTTTATAGTATTACAGACAGTATAAATCAGTTCAATAATAGGAGAGGGGGTTGGGGGGGAGCTTCATTCTGCCATATTGCTCTGTTCCAATATGAAAGAAAAACTTTGAAATAAAACATTGGATACTTTTGGGATATGTGGCCATACAGCCCGAAAACCACACAACACCCCAGTGTTTCCGGCTGTGAAAGCCTTCGACAATACATTAGATACTTTTGTTTTTCAAAAAGACATACTGCATATTGTGAAAATCAATTACAATATACAAAATCCAAAACATTAAAAAGGGATTCTAACTTCAGAATTGCACAGATTATAGCTTTGACAAACCATGTATTTTTGTTAGTGAAAATATAAAAAGTCGTCCAAAAGCACTTTCTGTTGGTTTAACCTGTCCTACTCCTTACAGTGCACAAATTGTATGGAGTGTTTATTGGGCAGAATTTGAATTGGGCTAATTTATATTCCTACATTTCTATCATTTTAATAATTTCTGCATTTCTATTTGAAGTAGTTTAGTATAAGTATGAAAAATAATTGCTCTTCAAAATAAAACATGACATACACAATCTTCTATTTCTTCTGCCATGACCTTTTGGATATCGTGCACCATGCAGGGCTGGCTATATTTTCATATAGTCACATCATGCGGGATCCAACCCACACACTAGCATTAATAAGTACGATGTTTTTTGTTTTGAGCCTGAAAATGAACTTCATAGAATTGGGAGACAATTGCCTGCACTTGTAAATATAGAGATATATTTTATTTGATGTAATAAATAATTGCCATCTTTTTACTTGGCTTCTATGTGTGTTGGGAAAATACATATCATTGTGCTTGGGTCATTTATGATAGCTCTCATCCATGCATACACTCACTTAAGTCACAGTGCACATGTTCATTTAAACTGAGTGATTATTGGTGTTTTTTAGGGAAGCACTACTCAGTAGTAATCTGCAGAATAGTGCTGCTCTGTAAGCTGATGACTACTAGTTTGCAGCAACATTCTAGGAAACAAATACAACAGTAGAGCACAAATATACCAATTTATTACGTATTGGGAGGAAATTTGCTTGTGTTGGAACACTGTTTTGTGGGATATAGAAAATGAAGAGTTAAATTTTGCTTTTAGTACATGACACTATTGATCATTCCCTACATGGGTGTTCAGTCACATAAAAAATATCCTCAAGGCATGAAAAAGCTCTCTTTCTTGGTGTATGAGCTTGAGAAGTCCAGATCAGTATTCTCATTTAACCTCTCCACATATGCAAGGAACATCAGCTTGTGTTTATTGCCAAGGGAAGGTGTGTTTAGAATCATAGAGCTGGAAAAGACCACAAGGGCCATCCAGTCCAATCCTCTGCCAAGCGGGATCACAGAATCAAAGCACCCTGACAGATGACCATCCAGCCTCTGCCTAAAAACCTCCAGAGAAGGAGATTCCATCACACCCAGAGGCCAGATGTTCCACTGCCAAATAGCTCTTCCTAATGTTTAGGTGGAATCTTTTTAATGCAATTTGAATCCATTGCTCTGTGTCCTAGTTTGATGAACCATACTGTGGGAAGTCTACATATTTTTATTTTACATAATTTCATTTCCAGACTCGCATGCTGATATGTATGCATTCAGGAAAAATAGTACTGCTGATCCATTGCCCTAACACGATGAGGTGCTTCACATCAGCACTGGTGGTGTGTATCTTTATTCAGGTCATAATCCAACCTTGTGAATAATAAATGCATGGGTTTTTCCATAATGACGTTAAGACAAAACAGGCTGAAATTGTTATATAACATTGCATAAGATGGATACATCTTCACAACATTAATGGGTACTGACCAACATCAAGTTTATCACTTTTGCATTGACTTTTCTTTAGATCTGCTTCAAATAAAAAGGTCAAATATGACTTTTTGATTTGAAGTATATCTAAAGAAAAGTTCTAGGTCTTTTTTAACTGTTTCAAATCCATTTTGTGAACATGTATCTTGTTTACTGTGGCCTGCTGAAGGCCTGGAGAAGGAGAGAGAAGACAATAATTACACGAGGAAACACCATGTGGTTTGCATTGAAAAACATACAGGATGTAAGAATGCTAGAAATTTCATATAATTACATTTTGTTACCCGCTTCTCCCTATGGCTTAACATTGTTAAAACAGTCAGTCAAATGCAACACCATTAAAAGGCATATATTAAAATACAACAAAGACTGACACCAATACCAATAAAATGGAGGTTAAAATTCAATTTAAAATTGACTATGTAGGCCTGTTTGGAGAGTTAGGTCTCCTGTTCTGACACTTGACAGCTGTCAGATTGATTCTGACAGCTGACCAGAAATGCAGTTGGAGAGAAAACAAGAACTGGATGGCAAGTTGCAAGTGTGTCAGGGGAATGAGGGATGAAATAATGGATTTCAAGAAACAATGGGCAAAGGTACAACCAGTGAACTCTTCCAGTGAAAGAGAAACACACTTCATTCTTATATCAAATTTTGTATCAATGTAGGGTTACCATGTTTTTTCTTCTCTGGGTTCCACAACAAGAAAACAATGGCAGCCCCCAGTCAATGTAGGCTCCCCCCCCCCTAAAACTATACTGAAGAGAGCTGACTATGTTTAATTCCAATAGTTATAAAACTAAAAAAATGTAAGAGCCTTTCTGGAGCAAAGTGTCAGTCCTGTACAAGATTGAAGAACTGGAGGCCCTATACTCTTGGCAGGAATGTGGTGTTGGTATCTTTCTGTCTGTTTCACGTGGGCCTTTAAGATCGATCTGCCACACACCTCTTAAGTTAAAATATGGTGGAAAAGCATCTATTTATATTCTTCATTGTGGGCTACTGTTAAAAGTACACACATGGAGTAAGAAAAATGAGATCTTTGGCAGAAGTGTAGCAACTGCCAGGGAAGTAATGACATGGTTAAGGTGTAACGGCCTTTTGTGTGGAAAAAAAAATAGGTGTAGCTTTTTTTATCATTATGGTAAGAAAAATCACATGCAGGGGAATCCCTAATTTTGAGCTAATCCAAGTTTGGGAGTACTTCCAAACAGCGGGTTGTGCTTTTATGTCTCTCAGTGGATTTCCTGTGATAAGAAAAAGACAAAAGTTGAAGGAAAATAAAGGTTACAAATGGGAAAACAATGAAGTATGATGTGACACCTTAAATATCAATAAATTAATTGTAGCCTGAGCTCATGCTATCTATACATTTGTTAGTCTTTAAGATTCCAGAGGAATGTGTTTTAACTGATAGACATATGTAACTCCCCTAGAAGGTTTTTTTTAAAAAAACAAAAGATGTCATTGAATTTTTCATCCTATGGATAAGGCTGTCCAGTTAAAAATAAAATCCTCATCTGAGAACATTTTGACTTTAGCAAGCCAGTCCCAAGAACAAAAGATTCGTTCAGGTTAGGGTGTTCTGTACTAACCAGCAAATGTACTATGTCAGAAGAGAACAAGGAAGCCAGGACATTTCCAGTAAAACATCTTCAGCTACATTTAGATTTACAGGCATCTGACTCTCTATATAAAGTGTCAGACTTGGACATCAACTGAAGGCAGAAATAAATGGCACAGTTTATCTTCATTTTTAAAGCTGGCACGTATATCTAGCAGTATTCTGTACTTTTATATAATGTACAATGTTGTATATGTCTCAAATATATTATGCAGTCTAGTGTCATGAATTAGAAGAAAATTTCAGTAAAATCACATGTTCAAGTGTTGTGCAGATGGAAGGAAGTGCCAAAGATTCCCCGTACCCAGATATAACAGATACACGAGCCTTATACATTGGGGCAAGGACAACACATTAGTCCATTTCTCAGTGGCAGTGCATCTGATGAAGACATTGACAATGTGAGGAGACAGGATGGCCCAGTTTCCTACATTGGGTTTATTCTGGTACTCACTTAGGCGATCCCTCATTTTCCGAGGAGGATTGTCTTCCAGTGTTCTTGTGGGTCCGTATGTGGCTGTGGAGCCCTATTCTTGCTCTGCATCTTCTTCCACAGTGAGGGCATTGGTTTCCAGGTGGAAGGCGGTCTCAGTTGGGGTTGGCTTGATGTGCCTTCCTCTTGGCACGCTTCCTTTCTCCTGGATTCATCACTGAGCCTGGAACTCCAGGTTTTGGCAGTGGCCAGGGGAGCTTTTGCACAGGTTTTTTTGGAGGTATTGTGACTAGATATCTACACTAATAACTCCTCAAGGAAGCCCTAGAATGAAAAATTATATATAATGTATTATATAACCTCGTGTATAAGTTGACCTCATGTATAAATTTTCGGATTTTGATATAACCCATGGATAGAGAGTTATTCCACATTGCATTGGTGGGACCAACCACCCTTAGCTGCCTTTGCCCATCACAGCACCACATCTGGTCTTTTTGAATGCCTAAATAGGAAATTTAGGCATTCAAAAAGACCAGATGTGGTGCTGTGATGGAGAGAATAGTTCCCACCTTTTGCAGTTAAGGCAATGGTTCCTTTCTGATAAAAAATATTGTACAGTACATACATTGACATGTGAATAAATTGACCAGGATTTTTAACCAAAATATCTAGACTTAAACATGAATATATAGGATAGTTAGAAAAGACATTGAATGTCTTTGCAGTCAGAGGAATTGTAAATGATAGTAAAGGACTCGGGGGACGGGGGAGCTTTATTTTAGACTAATCCCAATCCATTACAGTGTGTGCACTACTTTTACCAGTAGTCTCACATGTAGTTTGCTGTTTTTAGTACATATACCTTGAGAGTTAGCTATCAATGCAGGTTTTTAAATTGTGACACCTGTACCCTAATCCTTTAGCCTTCTAGACTAGCACCTTATATCTCTTTACCCCATGTTAATAATGCATAAGACCACTTTTGCTGGCAGGATTTTGTTTGGCCTGTGCAGGGAGAGTGATTGGGAAACTATGTTTTAATCTGTTTTATTGCATTTGTATGTTTTAATTATTTTATAATTTGATAAGTTATATTTATTATTTGTATGTATAATGAGGCATTGAATTTTGCCATAATCTGTAAGCCGCTCAGAGTCCCCTTCGGGGTGAGAAGAGTGGGGTATAAATATAGTTAATAATAATAATAGTAATAATGATAATAATAATTTATTAATTTTGATTTTCATCAAACCCAAGGCAAAGTTTTTTATACTGAAAATTATACTAAAATGATGCCCGTATATGTAATCTTTAGGAATTTCAGGCAATATTCATCTGAAATATGTTCAGGGGTTACCACAATCATCAATAGGTAACCTCTGGCAAACCTTTATCTGTTAACCACAGATACCTATCTATAGTATGTGAATAATAATATTGGGCTAGCATACAGAATCATAAGAATTTTTACGATAATAAACATACACTATTGTAAAATACATTACTATCTTTATTCCATAAGCTTCATCCTAAGCATATTTTTCAGAAGTAAGACTTAGTGAATTAAAAATGTCTTATTTGCTGAGGAGTATTTTTAGAATAGCCACCTTCATAGATCTTTGTAAATTTACTCATCATAAATAAACATTCTCCATATAATTATTTATTATACAAAGTAATCTCTCTTACTGACTTTTTCTGGAAGGAAATATATCTGTTTTATAATACAACATGAGTGTCTGCTTTTTCTTTAGTTGTCATGGATGATGATGATGATGAGTCCTGTCTCTTTGATCTTATTGGGTAAGTCTTTTTTGTTGTTAGAAATTGATAAAGGAAGAGACTATGTAAAACCACTTTGAACCCAAAACCGCTTGCTAGATCAATAGAGTTGGATCAGAACTTACTCCTTAGGGCTTGGGTTGCTTTCAGTGGAAATAGATTCAGTAGAAATTCCCTGCTGGATAAAGTGTATGTGTTGATTTTTGTCATGTTCCCATGTAACCTTTGGCAGTTACCATTATAAAGGGATTCCCAACCCTACTTTTAGGGGGCATAGAGCATCAAAAGGATGGAAGAATTGATGAAAAATACTGCTATAATACTGCTGTGTTCAAATTTGTACCCAACCAAATTACTGTTTGTGATGGGTAGAAAAAAAGTCTGATGTGTGTTTACTTAGGAGTAGATCCATTAAACTAAGAGGTTTTCTAGCCTTTCTGTTGCATTGGGACTGCTATAAATAAAATGTAAGTGTCATCATGTTCATTTAGTTATTTATTTAGCTAGTTTTCATTTATTTTCGTAACAGACCGAGTGAATACAAATTGCCTGTACCAGCATGCAGTGTTCCAATTCACAGTATTTGTCTTCATAATCAAAGACACAGTAACAATGAATATTATTTTAAAGCTGATGACTAGAATTGTGTTGGTGATATGTGCAGATGTAATGTTACATTTTGTTGTTTTAAATGGTTATTGTAGATGGAGGTATTCTGCACAGATCCCCTTCAGTTTGTAACCTGCTAATTGGTTGAACCGAAGCAATAGCTGGAGTAGAATGGGTCATCTGTCCCCTACTCCCAGATCTCCAGAGGATCCCAGAAAGTCCAAATAGATGCTCTTTTGCTAGAAAGATATATAAATTCAGTTACTGAAACCCACTGGTGAATAAAAAGACTTTGGAGCTGATGCAGAAAGACAATGAGATGGTTGGGCAGAGTTCCTCTGGAAGGTCATTAAAACTGGCATTTTAACAGAAAAGGGTCTGTTACATGTCTTATAGCAGGGCATATCTTTTGCATTTTCTATTTAGAAGTTTGCCAGGATCTCCTGATGTACTCAGTGTGAAATAAACAAAAGAAGATTACATTCTTAGGATTTAAGATCTAAGTCTATTTATGAGAGTTAAAAATATTTAGACTGTTAATATAAACAAAAAAATTAAGAATAGATTAAAATCATTTCAAATCAAAACACACACATAAAGCAGTCAGAACAACTATACTTCGTTTTAAGAACCCATGAAATGAGACAATCCTAGCTGCCCTCTGGATGTTCAAAAGTGATGTCCTTTGGAAGTAAGTTCCACAGTTGGGGGATTGCTGCAGAGAAAGCTTGGTCCCAACTACTTACCATCTTAGATTCACCTCCCCCTTAGCTTTTTTGTAGTACCTAAAGATGACAAATGAGTCAGGTGGAAAAGTTACTATTATAGTAATAGTTCATACAGACTCTCAGTGACTATATTATTTGTAAGCTATCATCATGTCATCATCAATTGGGCAATATATATTGAACAAATTAGCAAAAAGCAAGGAGGCATTACAGAAGGTGTGAAAACCTATACAATTTCTATGGAAATTATGAAATGGCATAAAGGGGCACTGCTGAAAATACTAGTTTTGATGTATTTCCAAAAATCTCCTTTGTAGAGAAGACAGAAAACACTGTGCAAGCCTTCTTTATTTAGATACTGGCACTGGTATCCATTGTATTAATAAATAAAGGTCTGTTCCCTAGAGATGTTTTGCCAACAGCTCAAATATATGGTAATAAAATATAGACCTCTAGAACTGAACTTTGTGGTGTTGGTGGTGGTGTTTCTAATGTATGGCAGCCCTAAGCAACAAATCTGTTATGGTGTTTCTTGGCTAGTTTTGTTCAGAGGAGGTTAGCTATTGCATTCCTCTGAGGTTGAAAGAGTATGATTTTGACAAGGTTACCCAGAGGGTTTCCATGGCCACATAGGGATTTGCACCTTGGACTCTCAGATTTCAAATCCAGCACTCAAACCATTACATCACACTGGCTCTCTAGAGTGCATCCTACGTGCAGTTATTGTTGGAAAAGACTTACATGACTATGATAATAATGCAAACTTTAAAAAAAGTATTAAAATAATATTTGATAGTTGCATAATACGATAAATAGTTAAATTAAAAGAGATTTGTGGTGTTGCTTTGTAAAAAATAACTCAGATTTCTGCTTCTGACTGAATGCTCCAAGTTATAGAAACTTTTGGAATTTGTTCAAGCAGGTATTTTTAAAGAATATTATAACAGTTATAAACCTCACTTTCCTTGTTTGTGTTTTTTTTAAAGAGACCCACAGGCACTGAATTATTTCCTCCATGGAGCAGGCAGTAAATCTGTAAGTCACATTCTGATATGTTAAATGTAGATATAATTTTACTAACTGTGCTACTGTTAGTTTAATGTTATTTTCTCTATGCTGTAACAGAACAACGAAGACTTGACTAATGCAGGATATTCTGCAGCCAATTCAAATTCCATTTTCGCCAATGCCAGTGTAAGTACATAGGAAAAAAGGTTAAATTTTACTTTGGGTTTACAATTCAGGCATGGTCTTTTGACACTGTTTGTAATTGTATAGAATAGATATAGGATTTGATTTTCTTATAAGTCTGTTTTGGTGTGTGCATGTAACCTTTAAACAGTTCTTTCCAGTTGGCTGGTATCCCTAATATTTTTGAGTGTATTTCCTCCTTATTTGCATATGTGAAGGGTGAGGTTTGGAATATTTCAGCTACACAAACCAGTTCTAGAGATCTCCAAAGGACCCAGTTATAAAAGCTGTATACATGCTTCCCACACATATTCATAACAAAAATGAGATGGCAATAAATAGGAAGTTGCTATCCCCCAGTGTTTGAGTCCTGTGGGCTTTACACACCACATGAATGGGCAACATCTAGGAGTAAAAGCTCTTCAGATGTCTTGGGGATGGATAGAGTGTATTTCTTAAGGCTCTAATAGATTTCCCATGGAGATAGAAGTTAGGTGATGTGAGACTCTTGATCCCCATGATCTGTGATAATTGGCTTTAGTGTAATTGAAGAATTTTGCTCTTTCTCTGTGTCCACCACACCCTGACTTTGTGATCCAGGCTGGTAGCTTCAATATATGTTAAGGGGATTAATAACTTTCCACCCTCTAGGCATCTGTTTCATTTCAGATAGGGTGCGTTCACTTCAGAATTAATACAGTTTGATGCCTCTTTAACTGCCATTAGTCAATGCTATGGGATCATGAGGGTTGTAGTTTTGCAACGTCTTTGGCCTCTGCCAAAGAGTACTGGTGACTCAACAGACTACTTGTCCCAGGATTCCATAGCACTGAGCCCAGTGATGTCAAACTTTTGTAGTGTACATGCACCTCCTAGGCTAATAAGCTAAACCATAGGTATTTGAGTGGAGTCCTGTCGAATGACATGAAATGCAATACTTAAATTACAATATGCTCATATATTATGTACAAAATGGCCAAGGAAAACTATAATTTGAATTAGGGTAAGTGTTTTACTATAATGTTATTGCCCTATCTCCTTCAGGAATGCCAGCATACTTGCACCTTTCTTTATGCCTGTGATATTTAGTATTGGCTGCTCTAGCATGGTATTTTTGAGGAATGTTTTGGGGGGATGAAGAAGAAAAAACAGGAACAGTCAACCTACAACATAATTTCAAACACATTGGCTTGATATTTAACATATTTTTTCTTCCAGAGTTCTGAGTCTAAGTCGTCAATCAAAGGTGTGAGTGGTCAGCTTGGAGAGGGACCTAGTGATGGACTACAGTTGCCAAGTAGCCTTCAGTTTCTTGATGATGAACTTGAATCTTCTCCATTGCCTGATCTTAGTGAAGATCAGCCATTTGATATCCTCCAGAAATCTCTACAGGAAGCTAATATTACAGAACAGACTTTGGCAGAAGAGGCTTATCTGGATGCCAACATAGGCTCCAACCAACAGTTTGCACAAACTCAACTTCATCCTTCCTCATCAGCATCTTTTACTCAGGCTTCTAATGTTTCTAATTACTCAGGTCAGACGCTGCAACCTATAGGAGTTACTCAAGTGGTTCAGCAACCCGTTGGAGCATCGTTCACAAGCAATACAGTTGGTGTGCACCATGGCTTTATGCAACATGTGGGAATCAGCGTTCCCAGCCAGCATTTGTCAAATAGTAATCAAATTGGTGGTCCTGGACAGATACAGCTAATTGGTTCATTCAGTAACCAACCTTCCATGATGACCATCAATAATCTTGAAGGATCACATATTATATTGAAGGGTAGTGGACAGCAAACACCGGCAAACATGAGTGGTGGACTCTTGGTTCACAGACAAACTCCTAATGGCAACACACTGTTTGGCAACTCAAATTCAAGTCCAGTAGCACAACCTGTAACTGTTCCATTTAACAGTACAAATTTTCAGACATCCTTGCCTGTGCATAACATCATCATACAGAGGGGCCTTGCTCCAAATTCTAACAAGGGCCCCATCAATATTCAACCAAAGCCTATTCAGATGGGTCAGCAAGCCACTTACAATGTGAATAGCCTGGGAATACAGCAGCATCATGTGCAACAAGGGATTCCTTTTGCTTCATCAAACTCACCTCAGAATTCAGTTGTTGGTCCACATATGTCTGTTAATATTGTTAGTCAACAAAACGCAAGAAAATCAGTTGCCCCTCAAACAGTAAGCAATGCCAGTGGTAGTATTGTTATCCATTCTCCAATGGGACAGTCTCATGCACCTCAGAATCAGTTTCTTATACCCACAGGCCTGTCAGTAAACCCTAATTCAGTTCACCACGTCCAGACGATAAATGGGCAGCTTCTTCAAAATCAGCCTTCCCAGCTTGTTTCTAGTCAAGTATCCTCTGATCATGTTATGCTAAACAGGAACTCTGCAAACATGCTAAGAACTAACCAGCCGTATTCCGGACAGATGTTGAATAATCAGAATGCTGTCCAGCTAGTTTCTGGTCAGACGTTTTCAGCTTCTGGAAGTCAAGTTATAGTAAACCACGGGAATTCTCAAATTGTTAGCGGCCAGGTTCCACTACAGCAGGCATCTCCTGCTGTGTTGCATTTATCCCCTAGCCAAGGAAACATTTCCCAAAGTAGAACAAACTTTTCCACCATGTCTCCCGGACAGTCAGCCAGTTCAAATATGTCATCCAACAGCCGGTTTACTGCTGTGAGTTCTTCTGCCGCTGTACACCCCAGCATTGGGCCTTCAGCCCAGTCTGTTGCTTCAGGAGGAAGTTTTGCTGGTGATCAACTTACGCAGCAAAATAGAATGCAGTTGGCAGTCAGCGTGTCACATCGTCTTCCAGTTTCTTCTTCCAAGGCTGTCAATACTTTTAGTCACACATCAGTGACCCAATCGCAGTTTTCCTTTGCCCAGGTATGGACTAAGGCATGCTTAAAAGGTTATGATCATTGTGTTTTAAGAAAATATTATAAGAAGCTTATAAGAAGTTGGATATTATTGTGCAACCTAACCTTACAACTTGTAAATGTTTAATATGGTTTTTATTGTTTTGCAGGTCTCAGCTTTGCAAAAAATCTATAGAATTTATGTTAACACCAGTTTTCCTTTGTTGGAATGATTTGTCTGAATTCAAAAAGGCTTATGGTTGCTAACAGTGATTCCATAATGTTTAGATATTTATTCATTTAAAACTGAGACTGTTTGGGAAGTTTAGTAGAACAAGACTGAATTGTAGTGAGTTGCATGTTCTCTTTAAATGCAGTAAAAAGGAGATTTGGAAGTTTGCTTCTCTTTTCCAAGAACTGCTTGAAAAACTATGGTCATTCTTAACTATGAGCAGTTTGAAGAAACCAACTTATCAGGTTTAAGCTATTTTCATTAAGATCAAACATTGTGTGAGGTTTGGATATAACAGAAATGAGTGTTATTCTGGAACATGTCCAGAGAAGGGCGACCAAAATAGTCATAGTTGTGGAAGCCAAGTGCTATGAGGAGTGCTTTAGAGAGCTGAGTATTCTTAGCTTAGAGAAGAGAAGGTTAAGAGGGGACATTATTATTATGTTTACATATTTGAAAGGATTTCATATTGAGGAGGAGGCAGGCTTATTTTCTGCTGCTCTAGAAACTAGGATACAGTGCAATGGATTCATATTGTAGGAAAAAAGTTGCCACCTAAATATTAGGAAGGACTTCCTGATGGTTAAAGCTGTTAGCCAGTGGAATATGCTTCCTGGGAGTGTGGTGGAGTCTCCTCTGGGTTTTTTTTAAAAAGAGAGTCTGGATTACCATCTGTCAAGGATGCTTTTGATTGTGTGTTTCTACTTCATATGGTTGGACTAGATGATCCTTGTGTTTCTTCCATCTCTATTATTCTATGATTCCAAAATGGAACCAAATGTTTTTGGTATTTTTCCCATATACAGGCAGTCACCAAGTTACAAACAAAGATAGGTTCTATCAGTTTGTTCTTAAGCTGAACATTTTTAAATGTAACTTCAACCATATGTACTGTATATACTTGAGTATAAGCTGAATTTTTGAGCCCTTTTTTAGACCAAAAAAGCCCCCCTCAGCTTATACTCGAGTCAAAATTATTTATTATTTCACTCTGCAATTATTATTGTTTTTATTACATTTATTATTTTACTCTATTTATTATTATTACATTTACATTATTTTACTCTATTCATTTTTATTACATTTATTATTTTTCTCTATTATTATTATTGCATTTATTATTTTATTGGATTATTACTGTTATTACATTTCAGTTGTTTTACTCTATTATTTTTTATTTATATATTATTTTACTTTATTATTATTGGAAGGATATGTAAGCACACTGAAGAAGGTTAGAATAATGGTTTAATCAGAGTTGGACAGTCTTATCTTAAATTACAGTTTTATGTAAATATTTAAAAAAGCATTTAACCTACTGATGCCTCAATTAATGCATTTATTGGTATCTATTTTTATTTTGTGATTTACCAGTAGCTGCTGCATTTCCCACTCTCAGCTTATACTCAAGTCAACACATTTTCCCAATTTTTTTGTGGTAAAATTAGGTGGCTTGGCTTATATTCGGGTTGGCTTAAACTCGAGTATATACAGCATGTGTGTGTGTGTGAATGTTTATCCATCTATATGCATGCATGCTTTGGATAGCATAGGGAAGGGTTAACGCCCCAGTGGTGTTTGTTTTGCTGTCTGTGCCTCTGTTCAGAGATTTCATCTCACTTTCTGTCACTGTGATAATTGGATTTTGAAAAAGTTGGATTTTTGTGGAAACAAGGGTTGGTGATAGTTTCAGTTGATACAACTTTCCCCCATGATAACTCATCCAGGAGTGACTTTCCCTTCCCTGGGGTAGATTTCTCTCACTTTGTGTTGTCTCATGCCCATTCTTAACTATGAGTCATTTGTAAGTTGGATACTTGTAACTCAGGGACTGCCTGTATACATTTCAGAGGAGAGGGAAAGGAAGAATGCACAACCACAATGGTTTTTGCAGCTTATAATGTTAAACTAAACTGTCACTTGAAACACATCTACACTGACAACTTAGGTCAGTTTGGAACTGATTAGGGAGAAACTAGATTTTTCTGTGCAGATGATTGCATTGACATTTCTGGAACAGGTTTGAGGCCAGGGAGGTGATTACATTAACCGTGGAAGGTGACCTCAAACCAGTTCCAGAATGTATAATTCCCCCCCACATTTTTGGTCGAAATGCACACCAGTTCTCCAGAGGCATAAGAGATGGGGAAAAGAGAAAGTTACATTTAGCAGTGATCAATTACTTGTTCCAGAGAACCGGTTAACCCCTTGCTGCCCTTGGATGTTTTCGGGCAGCATTCTTAAGAAAGAGAAAACAATGCAATTTAATGTATATTTCTGCTGTTTGTTCACTGCACCTTTAAACATCCAAAATAATTTAGGATTTGGTGGCTGAATTGAAGATCAGACCTATAAAATAGAAAGACGTGTTGTATACAATACTAAAACAAATACTGTGATTGCAAAATGTGTTGCAACAGCAGAAAGATATTGGGTGTAATATCTATAATGATATTCAGAAATCATTCAGAAGTAATAATCTCAGTTTAAGTAACTGTGGTTTACTGGGCTGAGGTGATTGTTTCAACTAGCCCTCTTCCAATTTCATTTGCATGACAAAATGAATATACTTTTAGGGTGTATTATAGCATAGTTTCCCATTGCATGCCAATTGGGAAAGCTCTTTAATTTTGGATTACAAACAGGACCATGAAACTGGGATCTGTTTCTGGTTTTATGTCCTGGTCTGAATTCAAAGATGAAAGCATATGCATGCAACTTGTTCTTAGTTTAATAAAGAAAGATTAATATGTCTGTACTGTATTAGATTCTGTAGCAGTGAGTATCAGCTCAAACAGGATTTGGGACTATAAATAGATTTAATGTGCCATCTGCAGCCTGACCTCCATAGTCTTCAGATGTTAATGACTGTACAACTCAAAATCAGTCTGTGTACTTGTCTAGCACCAAGAACATGTAGGACAGTAGGAAATTGGTTCCATTTTCTTGGCCCCCAGACCAGGTGGGGAAACGAACTTCTGCATTCCTTCTGCATCCAAAATACCATATAGTGGCATGAATGTTATTATTTAGAGGAGCAGAAAAATAAAAAGGAGAGTATCAGATAAGTTTCTAATTTTTTTTCACACCATATGTGAGTGTCTGACACCTTTTTACACCTGCTGAATTGCTAGTATGACTCAGTGTATTCAGTAGACCTATTTCCAAACAATAAGTTTGGAAGGTGGCTTTAATTGCATAAAATCTCACAAATAAGGTGATAGTGAAGCTAGAAATTGCTCGATGGGTGGAAACCTGACAGATAAATGAGTTCAAATACTCCTTGCAAAGACTCATGTTATTCACAATGCAAGCTAATAAAATTGATTTTCAGTTGCTTATTACATTTTATTTGTAGAATATTTGTTTCTACCTTGGTTTTAATTACTGGTGTATTTCTGTGTGGTTTCTTTACAGGCTCAAAAAAAGGTTGCAAACCTAGCATCTTCAGGTTCATCATTAAAATCACAGGATACCCTGAGACAAGCTCAGCTAACAGGTCTTCTAGGTAATACATTGCAAGCTTTCCTCAATTTCTCAACTATGAAAAATCTAATTTGTGTTATTATTGTATTAAATATTATATGAAGAGGCTAATGTTTATAGTTGTGTTCTTCTGTAGAAAATAAATCTAATCTTATATGTCTAAAAGTAAAGTTTGTGTAAGGTTGTCAGAGGGTAAATGACAAATCCTTTGCAGATTTCCATGTTTCTTCTGTTTGTCTAATTGGGTCTCATATGATGGTTAAAAGAGATAGATGGCTGTACTGATAATGTAGTGAAATGTATGTAAATGTTGTGCTAGAATAATAGAGGGAAGACACACATACTGTGGTAGAAATGCAGGTGACACATAACTTGGGTGACAACCCGAATCCTGAGTCAGAATTTGGGCTTTCTCCCTACTTAAGTTAACCTGTGGCAAGGCTGCATTAAGGTCTACTTCCCCCAGGTTGACTCAAATCAGCCCTGTGTGGTGTTTAGCTGCTGTGGGGCTGTTTTGACTTAAGTGGTCAGTGTAGATGTTCCCAGAGATGTATCTTTTCCCGTAACTGATGCTTGTTCATGTAGGACCAGAAAAGATGCAGAACCCCTACCAACTATGATATCAATTACCAATGAGAAAATACTGCAAATTCTGTTTTTCCGTATGCCACATTTCTCAGTAGAATCATTGAGTTTGAATGGCAACATATTTCTGGTGATATACCAAGGTTATGCCCCAGAGATTCTATATGGCCAGTGCAGCTTCCCAGGCTGTGAAAGTTGCACACTCCTGTTTTAGGATACAGGTTGTAGAGGTTTCTCAGATTTGGAGGAATGTTTTATCTTCACTGCTAATGTCAGATCTTTACGGTTGGGGATGGAGGAGGCCTGATCTGTGGTCACTGATATGCTTTGTCAGACAGTATTGTTGCACCATTAAGTGAGCTTTGGTTCCTCTGAATGACTGGTGCTTAGATGTGTGGTTATAACATACAGACCCAGTATGTTCTTTGGATCATCTCATTAACATGTTATGAATGTGTTTTCTGTAACTGCTGCATACCATACAATATACTGTATTGTATAGTAAAGAACAGTTAGAAATGCATTCCTCAGCACATAAGTATGTTTAAGGGCAAATATTTTAAAATCATTAATTGGACTGTTTTGGCAGAAGATCCCAGATGCTGTTACGTGTTTTGTTTTGCTTTTGTTAAGGAATGTCATAATGCATATGTTTATAGGACAAGATTCTGTGGGCAAAACCATACAGCAATCTGTAGGTACAGCACTGTCCCACCAGGAAAAAGCAGGAGGATTATGTCAACCAAATGCTCAGGTAGGAACTGCGCCCTTCTTTTTTTACATTTACATTTTAGTGCAAATCGACTAGGCTAATAGTACACCAATGATTTTCATTTTGTACCTGTGCATATCAAGAGTGGGTAACTTCCAGAGGTGTGGAAACTGCGCATATAGCTTTCTCTGGATCTTCAGGGATTGCTTGTGTTTCCTGTTGCCTCCCCTGTTTCTTCTTTCTCTGCTTTTAAAACAAGAAGTCGATGATAGCTTTGGGAAGAGGTCTTGTATCTAGAAATAGATTGAAGACAGAAAACCTTAAAAATGCTTCCAGTAGCCTTGCAAGCAATTCAGTTTCAAAAATATAGGGGATGGGTAGCTACAGTTGGCTCTAGGTAAAAATAATGATTAGCAAATGATAAACCTTCCATTGATAAAGTCTGCCATGATATTTCATTCTAATTTTTTCATAAAACTAAAGGATTTTCAAGTAGCTAGAATAATCCAATAATTGAATGTCATTATTTTTATGTAAGACATGTGATTGTTCTTTGGAGGAATGAAACTACGACACCAATAATCCCATGTTACAACAGCTCCACTGGCTTCCTGTTTGTTACTGGGCACAATTCAAAGTGCTGGCTTTGGCCTATAAAGCCCTAAATGGCCTCAGCCCAGTTTATCTGTCTGAACGCATCTCCCTTTACGAACCACTACGGAAACTAAGAGCTTCTGGGGAGGCCCTGCTCTCAGTCCTGCCACCATCTCAGCCGCATTTGGTGGGGACGAGAGACAGGGCCTTCTCAGTGATTGCCTCCCAGTCATGGAACTCCCTTCTTGGCAATATTAGATCCGCCCTCTCCTTCCTGTCCTCTAAAAGGATGGTGATAACCTGGCTGTGGGACCAAGCCTTTGGGACAGTGCAGTGAGGCAAAATGGTGTCCTGAGATGATTTTAAGTAACTTTTAATGTGGATATAAGTGATTTTAATGTTTATATATATTTATGGTTTTATGTCCCGGAATTAAATGTTTGCCGTATATATGTTGTGCTCTGTTCTGAGTCCCCTGCAGGGTGAGGGCAGAATATAAATATTTTAAATAAATAAATAAATAAATAATGCCATTGTGGTGTGACATAGTGTTGGTGGAGCTTCTAACTATTGCCACTCTAAACTCTAGGCACATGGACTGTGTTTTGGTTCAGCCTATAAAGTGTGCCACAAGATCTTGAGCTTCCTTGTACATTTATCTTAACTGAGATGGGGCTTACTAATGAGAGTGTTTCTAGAAATGCATACATACAATTCCAGTCAGGTAGAATTACATGTGATTTTATCAATGTAGAGTCATGTTGCTCATGTTATGAAATTGTTCAGATATATGGTACTGATATTTTACAACAATTATCTTCACTTTGGGCAATGTGCACAAAATTATAACTTGTTTTTATAGAAGTAAACTATCATGTTGTAATAGTGATATATTTTGGACCTAGGTGGATGGTCATATGATAGGACAAAAGAGACCTGCTGCTAAACAGCTAACAAAAGGAGCCTTGTAAGTTGTTTTTTTTGCTTTATTCATACTTTAAGGAGCTTTCCCCCTCAATTATCCTTAGCTTTTTTGTCATGCTTTTGCACATCCATGATCTTATTGTAAATAACTGAGAACAGTCATTTTTCCATTAGTATTCTACAGCAGTTGCAGAAGGATCAGGCACATGCTGTGACGCCTGACAAAAGTCAGTTCAGATCTTTAAATGATGCAGTCCAGAGGCTCCTTTCATATCATGTGTGCCAGGGATCCATGCCAACAGAAGAAGACTTAAGAAAAGGTATAGTTTCTTTATCAAATGGTTGCAAAAACTTGTGTTTGTGGGTTTTTACAGAAATCAGACATGCTAAGTAAATGCATTTAGGAGGAATTGGAAAGGGATATTTTGTTACTAAGTATTGTAATCGTTACCATCACTACCATAATTTATTTATACGTATAACACTATCAAAATCACGGAGCCCTACCAAAGGTGTATAATTAATACACACATATACATAGATATATGCAGAAGGAAGAAGGAATAATACAAATATAAAACTATGCAATACAGTCAGCGTATTTTGTTTGCATTTATCACAGGTGTACAATCTAATTAATATGTGCACACACACATATACGCAGAAGGAAGAAGGAATAATACAAATATAAAGCTATACAATACAGTCAGTGTATTTTCTTTTTATTTTCAGTGGATAATGAATTTGAATCTGCAGCCACACAGCTTCTGAAAAGGACCCAGGCTATGTTAAATAAATACAGGTGTCTGCTCTTGGAAGATGCAATGGTAAGACTAACAAAATAGAAGGATTTGTGTAATTTACTGTACAATTACATAGTTAGCCCTAGCAGGCAATGCTTTCTTTAACAAATAACAAGTCTAGGGTTGGGCAGAGCTGGATTGAATTCTGTGTCATTTTGAGGCTTATTTTTTTCCTCTTATTGTAAATACCAGACATGGAGAGCATAATTCTGATATGGATCTCAGTAGTAGGAAAGGATTTAGGCCCCTCTTGGACATGATAGAGGGGCCATGATATGGTCTTTATCTGGCTTCCTCCCCTCATATCTAATTTGTTAAAGAAAAATTATGTGTAATGTGTTGTCGAAGGCTTTCATGGTCAGAATCACTGGGCTGCTGTGAGTTTTCTGGGCTGTATAGCCATGTTCCAGAAGCATTCTCTCCTGACATTTCACCCACATCTATGGCAGGCATCTCAGAGGTTGAGGAGTCTGTTTGAAACTAGGCAAGTGAGGTTTATTTATCTGCGAAATATCCAGGGTGGAAGAAAGAGCTCTTGTCTGCTTGAGGCAAGTGTGAATGTTGCAACTGTCCACTTTGATTAGTATTTAATGGCCTTGCAGCTTAGAAGCCTGGCTTGTTGCTGCCTGGGGGAATCTTTTATTGGGAGGTGATTAGCTGGCCCCAATTGTTTCTTGTCTGGAATTCTCCTGCTTTTTGAGTGTTGCTCTTTGTTTACTGCCCTGATTTTAGAGGTTTTTTTAACACTGGTAGCCAGATTATGTTCATTTTCATGATTTCCTCTTTTCTGTTGAAATTGTCCACATGATAGTTAGAGTAGTCCAGCATGTCCGTATTCTCAAATAATATGCTGTGTCCAGGTTGATTCATCAGGTGCTCTGCTATGGCTGACTTCTCAGGTTGAGTTGGTCTGCAGTGCCTTTCATGTTCCTTGATTCATGTTTGGGCGATGCTGCGTTTGATGGTCCCTATGTAGCCTTGTCCACAGCTGCATGGCATACGGTAGACTCCTGCAGAGGTGAAGGGATCCCTTTTGTCCTTTGTTGAACGTACAATTTCTTGGATTTTCTTAGTGGGTCCGTAGATCGTTTGTATGTTGTGTTTCTTCATCACCTTCCCTATGCAGTCAGTTCCCTTGTATGATAAGAAGACTTTTCCTCTGGGTGGATCCTTGTATTTAGTCTCATGTTTGGTTCTTGGTCTTGCAGCTCTTCTGATGTCTGTGGTGTAGTATCCATTGGCTTGTAGAGCCCGGTTTAGGTGGCTCAACTCACCTTGGAGGAGGTGTGGTTTGCAGTTTCTTTTTGCACAATCTGCCAGGGCTTTAATTGTGCTTTAATTGTGCTTCTTTTTTTCTCCTTTTTTTACTTTAGTGATGGTTGGAGTTTTTATGTAGGTATCTATCTGTGTGTGTAGGCTTTCTGTAAACTGTGTGACCCAATTGTTGATTGGTTTTTAGGACAGCTAGAAATTATATTTTCCTGAGCTAAACGTATGATAGATGTCATACCTAGTTTGGCTTATTGCATATATGTTTCTGTGTTCCCATATGTATATATCTGTATATGTAGCTTTCAGCTGGGTCCATGGTCCAGCTCTCCCAACATAGTGTTCAAATTTTGACCTTTCAATAACAAAAATAGGAGCTTATAGAAAGAAGAAAAACATTGTCATGTGTTTGTAGTACCACATCAAGGACCTTGCAGTGTTTTCTCTGGTGAGCGTCCTCTTCTCCTGGGGATATTTATGTAAATAGAGAGGACAGGGAATTGTTTGTTTCCCTTTGTGAGGTGCACACTCTGAAGATTTTCCTAAAAATTCCATAGTTAGCCATGTGAGAATGACTAAGTCTGAGCAGGATTATATGCATGGTAAATCAGTATTTGTCTATGAATTCTTCACAAGAGCAATGCCACTAAAGGATATTGTTCTGGTACATTCAGCTATTACCTTTAGTTGCTATGCCTATGTTGTACAGTTAATTCAGATAGAAGATGAAGAGATGCCCACCAAAAGTTTTTTTTTAAAAAAATCCTGACTTTTCACTACCAATAATGTCGATGTGGCTAAATTTCTGTGTAATCTGCTAGACTCGCGATAAGAAGCCACTTGAACAAAATTGTGAAAACTATACTTTCTCTCTCATGAAGCTTAAAAAGCTACTCAGAACAGGCTTGGAGGTGGTAAGAAGTATTTCAGAAATTGAAGTGGGTGCTTTGACTGTGCTTTTCCTGCATAGCAGGGGGCTGGATTAGATGGCGCATGCAGTCTTTTCCAACTCTGTGAAATTATGATAATATGTGAATTAAGAGTGAACATTTTAGATTAAGGGAGAACAATCTTGGTGTTTTAATTTGAGTCTTAGATTTACAATTCCTGGAGACTGGGGTGCTTCTATACTGTAGATTTAATGCTGTTTGACACCACTTTAATTGCTATGGCTCGATATAGAACCCTGGTAGAGAGAAGGCTAAATAACTTCTTTCATAGCAAAGAAAAAAATTGTAACTCTTTTTCTCAACAGTCTTGCCAAGAAAAGCCAGTGGTAGATCTGCCTTACAGTTTTCATAAGTTGGGAATGACTTGAAAGTGCACAATGATTTAGATGAATTGTTTACACCAAGTACCACATGTATATCTTTGCTTTTTAAAACAAACAAAACAAAAAGCTCCAAACAGCACCATCAATAATTTTCAACCTGATTATGTCTGCTGAACTTATAAGGATATTTTATGGTACTGTTAGAAGTTAATAATGGTTCATGAAACAGAACAAATGATTTTCTTTTCTTTCTCAGAGGATAAATCCTTCTGCAGAGATGGTCATGATTGACAGGATGTTTAACCAGGATGAAAGACAAGCTCTGTCCCGGGATAAACGTCTCGCAATAGTCGATCCTGGTAAGATATTACTGTTTCAGAACTAAGGAGACAAATGAGTGAAATGAATACAGCATTGTCGCTTTTAACCATGAAAAGATTTATAATTTATGGGGTTAATTCTTTTGAATAATATGTACAGATGTAATATCATGATGATATTCATCATCACCCCCATTACCCCACAGTCCCCACCATGATTAATGTCTGTAAACTTTGGAGCCAAATGAAAAATATGTTCTTGCTGGGAGGAAAAGGATTCCAGTCTTTATAAGATAAGCAGTTCTGTCCTATTTGTGGGGCCTACCTTTATTTATTGCTTCAATATTCCAGTTCTTTATGGGCTTAACCTAGAAAAAAGTCCTTTTGAACACAGCAGGATTTTTTTCTACAGAATCACGGTGTTAATTAATCGCTGATGAAATAAAAAGTGGAATATTCAGGGGAAAACCCAAATATTTTAGCACCAGACAGAAATACCCGGAAAACTGAGACTTACAAGATGCTGCAGTGTGAAATGCTGCTCTTTAGGTTCCATATTTTGCCTCTTTGTCTGACTCTGTTCCTACTTGGCTATTTTCGTGTTGTTGGGGATCAATGATCAAGTATCTGTAGTTATTTTCCTGTAGCTGGGCACACTGCAGTGACATATAGGGGTCCTTTCTATAGTTACCTGACACAGGACAATAGTTGAACATAGCCTCAGTCATTCTTTAAGAACACAGAAATCATCATGATGTGTGGGCCGAGCTGGTTACAAGGTGTGTTTTAAGGGGTTACCCTTTTAAAATGGTTTTCAACAGATAGGTTGAAAATGCACTACAAGTTGAACATCCCTTATGTGGAAATTTGAGATCTGAAATACTCCAGAATTGTCCACATGGATGGCTGAAATAGTGTCGTCTTTGCTTTCTGTTGGTTCAGTGTATGAAATTTCTTCAGGTGAAATGTCTATGAGCCATAAATGTGTTTATATGTGAATCCCATCTCTAAGATAGCTCATTATATATATACAAATATGACAAAAATCCCAAAACACTTCAGACCCCTGGCATTTAGGATAAATGATTTCGGTCTGTGCTGGGCGATGACCTGAAATAATGTGGACTGTATATCAACTGGGGTCCTTTCTGCCAAAATTAAGAGGCAAAACCTGTAAAGAAAAGACTATGAGACAGCCAGGAAATGTTATATAAATATGTATGCCCATGCTCTTCAAGAAAAGCATTTGTATTTTCTAATTTCTAGATGAATTTTCAGGTTAAAGGTGGTCCCAAGCTTTGAATGGATGAACATTGCTACTCTTTTATATATCTTACTGCCCTTAATATGCTATAATTCAGTATTAAAATGCTTTTTTCCCCTTCAAATTCCAGATGGCTTTCTGACAGATTTTTGTTGTCCTTCCACACAATTTGAGAAGATTGCAGACGAAACACATCCAAATGCAAATGATCTCCAATCAAGCAAACATTTAACTTCCCAGAAACAGACTGAAATCAGAGACAGGTCAAGTTCAAGCACAGCAGAGTCTTTAAATCACAGCAAACTTCATGTAGTGCCTAACAATATTGTGAGTTCCCAACAAGGAAATATTTCTATTAAAAAAATGGAAAGTCTCACAAAAGCTTTAAAAATTGAGAAAGTAAGCTGCTCTCCTGAAAGCCAACATACGGCTGCTTCTGAACAGAAAATGACTGGTAAAAACTTTGACAAGGTGAATGAAAACTCCCTAAGTTCTGAAGATCAGTCGTCCAAAACCTTATCAAGTTCAGAACATGGTACTCATAATAAAACATGTAGGAATACAGTCAATACTTGCTCAGAAACTGCATATAATCATTCCTTCCAAGACAAAATGCCTCGAAATTCTCCAAAGAATGAGAATCTACATCCAGATAGCACGAAAGGCTCTGGGAAACCCCAAAAGGATTTGCTGCTGAATAAGGATTTAGAGAATAAATTCAAAAACATGTTGGAACTGAAAAAGACTGGGAGGCAGCCACAGAGCGAGGCAGCGGGCAGTGGCTCCTTGGAATTAGAATATCCAAACTTCTCACTTATTGCTTCACAAGAAAATTGCCTGGAGAAGTTTATTCCAGACCACAGTGAAGGTGTTGTAGAGACTGATTCTCTTTTAGAAGCTGCTGTAAATAGTATCTTAGAGTGTTAATAGTTGCAGTACCATGGACATATTTCTCTTAGAAGCAAATGTGAATGACACCACAAGTACAGCCTGACTATGTCAAAGCTTACCCTTTCTAAACCTACCCCGTTCTGTGTTTGAGAGCAATGCTCATTCTGGTTACAGTGAGAGATTTAGCAGTGTGTAAATCCGATGAGAACACTACCTAATGGGGTCTGTTCTTTGGCTGCATGTAAACAACAAAATACAATCTTGCGTTGAGAGAATGAATCTTGGTGAGTCACAGATTTGTACTCCTCTGAGTCTCTTTCACGCTACACAATTACAGCATTGTGTTCTGCTTTAACAGAAATGGCCATTGTCTGTGAAATCTTGGAGTTTGTAGTTTAATGAGGCACTAGAGCCTAAACTGCAAATTATAGGATTCTGAAGGGTGTTGCCAAGGAAGTTGAAGAAATATATAGTAGTACTACAATTGTGTAGTGTGAAAGGACCTAAGGTGTGGTTACAATGAAGAGATCCGAAGCTTCTGCATTTATTTTAGATTACTTTAGCATGTCATCAGACCCATAAGTTTCACTGAAGCTTAATTATGTTTAGTTGAAACATACAGCCTCATAACAATTTTAGTCACTGACTTGTTTCAAGTAGGTATATAGTTGAGGTTGACCACAATTTATCTATATTTGGATGACAAAGTAAGCTCTAATTAATCAAGCAAAAGTTGCTGATCCCTTTTTGTATGGTTTAGCATTGCATTCTAACTAGCCCTTTACAATAAGTTTGTGCTAAATGTTTCAGCGTTGTATCTTAATAAGACGTCAATTCATTTGTCCCTCTGTGACAAGGTAATACACTGACAATCACAGTCTAGTAACAGGTTTGGAAATAAATGTCATGAATGTACATTTACCAGGGGGAAAATGTCCCTTACTTACCTGCAACCCTTGATTTGTGCTTGAAACATCCACAGTATAGTACCTCTGTTTAGAAATGTTCCTCTCTCAGGTTTAGAAGAGAGAGAGAGACAAAAAATATATGAAGGAATACCATTGTTACCAGAACGTTTACAAGGCTTTATCATTTTAAGCTATTTTCTGTTGCTTCATAGGCAGAAATGAATACATTACAGATTAATTTGGTCTCTGGAAGATGTATAGTTTTAATCACAACATGGCGTGAAACAATCCATGCCACACCATGAGTGGGAAATTGTGAAGGAAGATACTATGTTGTCAGCCATGAAATTCTGTATGAATACACACAGTTCTTCTGGAAAGTTGCTTCCATTTTATAATTGGATAAGTGGTATACATGTTTTTTTCTAGATCAAGTATTACAAGCACATCTATTTGAAAATTGTGTTGATATAGTAGTAATTTATACTTTAGCCTTAATCTGAACAGTTTCAAAGCCAGTACTGCTTTTTGCCTGTTTCTACTTCTTGGTGTTCAAGAATGTTAATCACCTATGGTGGCAGCCGTAATTACCAAAATAGATACAAACCAAAGTTAACTGATCTCATTAAAATATATGGCATATAATTCATAATTGAGAGCCAAAGGAGCCCCCTGTATGGTTAGCATTTGGCTAGTGGTCGTGCAGAATTTTATTTATGTATGTCTTTCATCTATGCTGCCATTCTATATTTGTTTTATTATATAATCCTATTTCCGAGCTGCTAGGTACATTGGGTTTTGCTTCTAATATGATGGATGTAACATGTTTGGCTGTTCAAAAAGATAGCAGGATGGGTTGCAAGGCAGTCTCTCTGTTGCTCATTGTAATTTCTTCTTACATACGTTTTCAAAAACTTGAAAATTAACTTCATAAAATCTGGAGTGATAGTGGAATCTTGTGTATCCACAAGTTTGGAAATTTTTTTTGCAAAGTACTCATAAGAATGGGGAATTCCCTCTTTCGTTGAAACTGTACAGCTTTGTGCTTTGCATTTCAACAAGAAGCTATGGTTGTCAGTCAGATTGCCCAGAAAAAGGGGTTGTTCAGTGTTTTCAATCTTCCAATTTGTTTTAAAGCACAATGTTTTTATCTCTTAATTAAAAAAGAACTTCACTACCATCATGTTGAGACAGCATCACTATGGGATAATAAGAATAATCAAATTCAAGAGAATAGCCATATCATTGAATGTTTGATCCACGCTTCACAGGAATAAAAATATGGAGGGTTTTATTTTGCTTTCATTGCTACCTTTAAAACATGTTCCAGTTTAAAAATCACATACTAATAGAACTTTATATTCTTTGGTGGTTGTCTTTTGAAATAGCGATTTAGCATTCTCACTTTGGTTCATTTTTGTATGCAGGGCCCTTTACAGGCAGTGCAGCCATACATTTTTGTAAAGGAATTGAACTGTAACCATAATGAGATTTCTGGGCAAGCAGAACGTACGTTACACCAGTCACACAAATCAATTGGAATTGTGATAAATTTGAAGTACCTCTATGGATCTGCCTTCTTTTGTTTTGACCTGGAAGTGTAAAGTTTCCATCACCTGTACAGAATATTCTCAAACCTAAATTCCAAAACAAACCCCATGCATTTGGAATCTTATGTGAGAGTTTACTTTTTAGGTAAAGTTTAGCCAAGACATCTGAAATGCACTTCATCAATGTGAAATGAATCGTACCTGTATTTATCTCAGCATTTTATGCTGGGAACCCACTGAACAAAGTTCAGCTAAATTAACCCCCGGGGTAGCTAATGTATTTTATTTATTTAATTGACCTTGATTATAGAGCTCTGAATATTTTAATTGGTAATGCAGTAAAATATTTTTGTTTGTTGTAAAAAGAAGTGTGAATTTGTTATGCAGCCCATGGTCCTGAAGCCAGTGAAGGCCATTTATTTGTGCTTAACTGCTTTGTAGGATTGGTCTCTTGACTTCCTGGATGTCTTTCCATATTGTCTAAGGTGAAAACAAAATTTTGGCTGGCAACTCTGAAAACCGATTCAAGGTCAGCCTAATTGATCTGTTAAATTTGGGAGGCCTTACAGACTGACTTTACTGAAAGAGGATGTGTCACTTATTGTCAGTGTGGTATGGACTTTATTTGCTTAAATACCTTCATTTGTATAGTACGTCACTTGAAATTGCTTTGTATACATTTTGTAAAAATATTTATAAAATGTTTTGTAAAAAAAGTGTAACAAATTGCAGTTTATTTTGTTATGTTGGATAAATACTGTTTTAAAGACACACATTGGTATAATATATTGTTAACCCATGGCTAGGAAATGTTCAGCTAGAGACTACAAAGTGAAGCAACCATTGCAATACAGCCAAAGATTTGGGAAAAAAATGTGTTTATCTGTGATTGTTTTTAATTTAAACAAGATAAATAGTGACAATTGACAATATATTTTTATTACATGTATATCCTACCTTACAATATGATAAGTATACTGAGACAAATATACTCCCGTGTCCCATTTAGGGACTAACAAGGCTTGAGATCTGTGTAACTTTATTAATAATATTCTCAGGGCTTATCTATTTGAAAGGGCTCGTATACCTTAAACATGTTGAGGGAGAAAGAAAGACCTGTTTTGATTTTCATAATGAAGTGTCACCCTTTATTGTGATTTATTCATTTGTTCTGTAATAGTTTGTCTTTGAAAGATTTCAGACTCCCGGTCTTTAAGCCAGCGATCTACTAGAAACATGTAATTTATCCTGAAATGTCTCAAGTGTTTTAGGTTCGGGGAAGAAAGGCAGGGTATAAATTAACAAATATAAAAACCCTTTGCTCTTACATTTGAAAGGATAAGCTGTATGCAACAATGAAAGTTTGGGGACATTTCCTACCATCTCCTAAAAGTCTTTTGAAGTCACCACTGCCTTAATTTTTAAACAAGCTGTTATATATTACTGTCTACTGTTGATAAGATAATACATAAGTACTTCTTGAGTTATCTGGACTGCCAATTCCCCCCCCCCCCCCCCAATGTGCCAGGGACCTGTGCATATTTCACCACATTATTATTGCATTAACTTACATAGTTTCCTGGTTACTTGCTATGGAGTCATAGCCGATGGTTCATGACTAGCGTCAGTTAGTAGGCCTCACTTTAAGAAGTCCTGGTTTCAGGTGTTCTTCTGGACTCTCAAAAATGTGTTGTGCTGAATCAGAATTTAGCATTTGAGTATGCCTTTAGTTGGAAACAACACATCGGGTAAGTGGAACTAGGACAAGTGAATAGAATAATACAAGACTGGGCACATAGTGGAAAAAAGCACATGTTAAAGCTATTTTGATTTAGAGGAAAATGCAATGATTTTGATCTGGGTTTATGCTTCCCTAGTGATGAAAGGAAAATATTGTACATGCTTACTCCTCCATTCCTTCATTCCGTTCTACTATATTGGAGAGAAAGAAATATAGCAAATAATAAATGGAGAGTCCCTTTTATGTTCTACTACCCTGTAAAACCATTGTTAGTTTTGCTTCTGGGGAAACTGCTTAATAAAACTCTGCTAAAGCTGTCCTCATATTTCCACCCTTGCTGCCAGGCAGAAATAGAGGTAGAAGTAGGGTTCCTTGAGACACTTGCCTCATTTTATATTGCTGTATCATGTTTCGATTTTACCTGGTATTATTGTCTGGAGTTTTGGACCATCAAAGATCCATATTCTAGGAATCCAGTAATCAATGAAATAACAGATAACGTGGCATGCTCCAAGGAGTATCGCTTTCTGTAACTGTTTTTGTGATCTGTGTTTGTTCAGATATTTTGTCAGCCCATTTGGTATTCTTTACACCTATCACCACTAGAAGTTACTTGTTTTTTCCAAGGGTGCTGAATCTCAATTTGTTGGTCTTAATATTTCCTCTCATTCACTTCAATTCTGCTATCCCTAGGGACTGCCACACCAAATTCTCTTTTCCTCAACCGCACTTATGTTGGCCATATTGTGTTCTAATAATTTATCCATTTGAATCTTAAATTACCATATTTTTTACTTCACCTTTTTCACCAATACCATTCAAACTAAAGGGGACAAGTACTCCATGAAAGTGAAAAACCCATGAATAAAGAAATTGCTATTGTTTTTAACCAAGAGAAAAACTCCCAGGAATTTCTAGGCCTTTTAGCACTTTATGGTCCATTTCCTCTGGAAGCTGAGCACAGAATTGAATTGGAGGACCTAGAGATTCCTAGAGAAGGGAACCTTTCAGAAATCGCTGGGTCCTCCAACATGACTGGCTGTAGTTGACCACGGACTCACACTGGAGGACCTAGCAATCCCTAGAGAGAAAATTTCTAATCAAATCCACAAAACTCAAAATGCAAATGTGGAAGATAACTGGACTGTTGTTTTGCTTTATTATTACCACTGCTGTTGCCTTAAACATTAGCCGTCTGCACATACATAGGTATAATTTTGTGGAATGCTCACTATTTCAACTATTTACAGTAGGTTAATACTTGTTTTCAGTCAAGGAAGCTCCAGACCATATTGGGATCTTCTGGATTGATCTAATTATGTATGAATTCTTGAATTTTGCTGGGGTTTGCCAGTTGTCTCAATGCCCATTGGGCATTGGGTGTGTGTGTGTGTTTCTCATAGTTTTTTTTCTTCTGCTGGGACTGTTCAGAGTTGTTTGTTTTAATTGGGATGTAGTTTGCTGTGATAAGTTGAAGGAAAAACATTCACCAATATGATTTTTAATAATGTTTTTGGAGTTATAATGCTATGGTACTCTTTCAGTCATCTACTAAGGCACCAAAACAATTTTTAAGGAGAAAGGAATAAAGACTCTTTTATTTTTTCATGTATTTAAAAAGAAACTTACAGAAATGACTGAAAATTTTAAAATGCCTGAGAACTGCAGCAACAGATACTACAACCTTCCAAGATGTTTGCACTGTGAGAAAGATCAACTTCTGGAAGTCAGGACCGCAAATGGTGAGGTATTAGCAGGAGGTGAGGTCCAAGAACACCTGAAATTTCTGTGATTGAGATCATCTGCTAAATTAAAACTAAATTAAATTCACAATGTATTTTATGGGTAATATTGGAGTACTTTTTATTGTTAACTCTAATGCCTTCTGCATATTCTTGTACAGATTGAGTAGTACTTATCTGAAATGCTTTGGATCAGAAGGGTTTAGGATTTTGGATTCCCCCTCCCCTTCAAATTTATATGTATTTGCATATAAGGTCATAATGGGGTCCCAATTCTAAACACAATATTTATGTTTCATGTACAGCATATATATTATATTTTAAATAATTTTGTGCACGTAGCCAAGTTTGTGTATATGAAACCATTAGAAAGGCGTCACTATCTGAGCCATCCATGTGGATAATTTTGGGATTTTGATGTATTTTCAGATAAGGGAAACTCTACTTGTACTAGAATTTGTGTGGAAGAATGTCACGAAAGGAAAATACCATCCGTTGTGGGATTTTGGTGCTTCTGCCACTTGCCACTCAGATTCTGCATGCTTTCTGTCATTTTTATAGTTATGTGGCCTCACTACTTTGATGAGTTGGCATATCATAGAATCATAGAGTTGGAAGAGACCTCATGGGCCATCCAGTCCAACCCCCTGCCAAGAAGCAGGAATATTGCATTCAAATCACCCCTGACAGATGGCCATCCAGCCTCTGTTTCCAAAGAAGCTTCCAAAGAAGGAGCCTCCACCACACTCCAGAGCAGAGAGTTCCACTGCTGAACAGCTCTCACAGTCAGGAAGTTCTTCCTCATGTTCAGATGGCGCATAGCATTTTTTTTTCTTAAAGGTTAATGAAAACCAATCATTTTAGTTACTTAGTTTTGGGCTTTAAGGATGTAAAATGACTTTTCAAGGGGAACTTTCAGAGCTTTATGATATCTAGTCCATTGCAGTTGGACAAAAAGGAAGAAAATGTGGAAGGACCAGTCTCTCTGGGATAAATCCAACTGCTAGTACCAAGTAAAGCAGAATCACTGAATTAATGGATGTATGTACATTACATGATTCTTGCTTTATAAATTCATCCGCGATTGTGTTTATGAGTGAAGAGAAGAAAAATAAAATACAAGGGCTAAACTATGCTGTGTTCACAATGCATTTCACATCCTTTATTGCCATCTGCTGGTAAGCAGTGAGTAGAACAAAATTTTCTGCTTTCCTCCATATGGAGGCCTATGTGTTGGACGCAGTTGTGATATTTCACATCTAAATGACATTAATTCCAAACTATTTGCTAGCAATTCCATGCATCAGCTGCAATATTTTATCCCCACTGCCTTTTTTAATTTTAATTCCAAGATCATAGCAAAAATGCCTATGTCTCTTTTCCACTTTTTTAATTTTTTCCCCCTTAAAACCATACTTGCTTCTTCAGTTGCTTGAAGAATATGCTTGTGATGAGCTAATGATTGGCCCCACAAGAATCACTCAGTGTCTTGCTTCAGTTTTTAATCCTAGGTCAAAGTTTCCCACAATCCTTGATTCTGTTCCATTTTCTTTTTTCTTTTGCATCTAATCGCCTATGATTAAAAAGAAATATTGAATTCTTCTGCTTTTCATGATTTTTTTAAAGAGTAAAGCAGATTGGGTTGTTGTAGGTTTTTTTGGGCTATATGGCCATGTTCTAAAGGCATTTTCTCCTGACATTTCGCCTGCATCTATGGCAAGCATCCTCAGAGGTAGTGAGTAAAGCAGATTATTAATTCATTTTTTTACTTTATTATTGTTTTCATCTACAGCTGCCCTCAGAATAAAGCACCTTCCCCTGCCCCCTATAAAGGCCAAATCCCATTGCCCCTCCCTGTGGGGCTCCTCTCTTATAAAGGCACTTTTATCCTTATCTCACCCAGGGTTTTAACTTTTTAACTTTTTACCGCATACATTTGGCCCACCCTCTGTGTCTGATTTTATGCTGTTTCATATTGTTGATTTCATTTGTTATTTCATATTTGTGTTACGATGTATTTTTTGTTATTTTGTGTTTTGCGTTTTAATTATGTTGTATTATTTTGGGCTTGGCCTCATATTAGCCGCCTCAAGACCCTTCTAGGGAGATGGTGGCAGGTTATAAATAAAGATGATTTATTGTTATTATTATTATTATTATTATTATTATTATTATTATTATTATTCCTGCTTTATTGCTTCTTGAAAAAAAAGTTTGCATTCTACTCACTGAGGGAGCTTTCA